GCTAGGATAGAAGGTGAACGGAGCTTGTGGCCCAGCTCTGCAGCCCATCCCCCTGAGGCCGCACCTTCTTCTTCCTTCCAGCCGGCCGTGACACGGTCAGATTGGGCCCTTGGCCCTCCGGGCACACCACTTGGCGCAGGGACCATATAATAGTATACATTGATGGTAATGGAGCCAGATTTGGGCCAGTGCATCAGTCACGTCCTCAGCCAGACCAAGCGTCGGGGCCCCCTTGGACCCAACCCGTCTGCGCGCACAGCTCCATGAGGAACAGGGCTACCGACCTACCGCTTGGCACAGGGACCATATAATAGTATACCTTGATGGTAATGGAGCCAGATTTGGGCCAGTGCATCAGTCACATCCTCAGCCAGACCAAGCCTCCCAGCCCCACTCGGACCAAAACCGTCTGCGCGCACAGCTCCATGAGGAACAGGGCTACCGACCTACCGCTTGGCACAGGGACCATACGATAGTATACCGTGATGGCACTGGAGCCATATTTGGGCCAGTGCACCAGTAGCATTGTCGGCCAGACCAAGCCTCTTGGCCCCACTCGGACCCAACCCGTCTGCACGCACAGCTCGATGAGGAACAGGGCTACCGACCTACCGCTTGGCGCAGGGACCATATAATAGTATACCTTGATGGTAATGGAGCCAGATTTGGGCCAGTGCATCAGTCACATCCTCAGCCAGACCAAGCCTCCCAGCCCCACTCGGACCAAAACCGTCTGCGCGCACAGCACCATGAGGAACAGGGCTACCAACCTACTGCTTGGCACAGGGACCATATAATAGTATACCGTGATGGTAATGGAGCCAGATCTGCGCCAGTGCATCAGTCACGTCCTCAGCCAGACCAAGCGTCTTGGCCCCACTCGGACCCAACCCGTCTGCACGCACAGCTCGATGAGGAACAGGGCTACCGACCTACCGCTTGCCGCAGGGACCATATAATAGTATACCTTGATGGTAATGGAGCCAGATTTGGGCCAGTGCATCAGTCACATCCTCAGCCAGACCAAGCCTCCCAGCCCCACTCGGACCCAACCCGTCTGCACGCACAGCTCGATGAGGAACAGGGCTACCGACCTACCGCTTGCCGCAGGGACCATATAATAGTATACCTTGATGGTAATGGAGCCAGATTTGGGCCAGTGCATCAGTCACATCCTCAGCCAGACCAAGCCTCCCAGCCCCACTCGGACCAAAACCGTCTGCGCGCACAGCTCCATGAGGAACAGGGCTACCGACCTACCGCTTGGCACAGGGACCATACGATAGTATACCGTGATGGCACTGGAGCCATATTTGGGCCAGTGCACCAGTAGCATTGTCGGCCAGACCAAGCCTCCCAGCCCCACTCGGACCAAAACCGTCTGCGCGCACAGCTCCATGAGGAACAGGGCTACCGACCTACCGCTTGGCACAGGGACCATACGATAGTATACCGTGATGGCACTGGAGCCATATTTGGGCCAGTGCACCAGTAGCATTGTCGGCCAGACCAAGCCTCTTGGCCCCACTCGGACCCAACCCGTCTGCGTGCACAGCTCGATGAGGAACAGGGCTACCGACCTACTGCTTGGCACGGGGACCATATAATAGTATACCTTGATGGTAATGGAGCCAGATTTGGGCCAGTGCATCAGTCACATCCTCAGCCAGACCAAGCCTCCCAGCCCCACTCGGACCAAAACCGTCTGCGCGCACAGCTCAATGAGGAACAGGGCTACCGACCTACCGCTTGGTGCAGGGACCATATAATAGTATACCTTGATGGTAATGGAGCCAGATTTGGGCCAGTGCATCAGTCACATCCTCAGCCAGACCAAGCCTCCCAGCCCCACTCGGACCCAACCCGTCTGCACGCACAGCTCGATGAGGAACAGGGCTACCGACCTACCGCTTGCCGCAGGGACCATATAATAGTATACCTTGATGGTAATGGAGCCAGATTTGGGCCAGTGCATCAGTCACATCCTCAGCCAGACCAAGCCTCCCAGCCCCACTCGGACCAAAACCGTCTGCGCGCACAGCTCCATGAGGAACAGGGCTACCAACCTACCGCTTGGCACAGGGACCATACGATAGTATACCGTGATGGCACTGGAGCCATATTTGGGCCAGTGCACCAGTAGCATTGTCGGCCAGACCAAGCCTCTTGGCCCCACTCGGACCCAACCCGTCTGCACGCACAGCTCGATGAGGAACAGGGTTACCAACCTACCGCTTGGCACGGGGACCATGTAAGAGTATACCTTGATGGTAATGGAGCCAGATTTGGGCCAGTGCATTGGTAGCATCCTCAGCCAGACCAAGCCGCCCAGCCCCACTCGGACCCAAACCGTCTGCGCGCACAGCACCATGAGGAACAGGGCTACCAACCTACTGCTTGGCACAGGGACCATATAATAGTATACCGTGATGGTAATGGAGCCAGATTTGCGCCAGTGCATCAGTCACGTCCTCAGCCAGACCAAGCGTCTTGGCCCCACTCGGACCCAACCCGTCTGCACGCACAGCTCGATGAGGAACAGGGCTACCGACCTACCGCTTGGCGCAGGGACCATATAATAGTATACCTTGATGGTAATGGAGCCAGATTTGGGCCAGTGCATCAGTCACATCCTCAGCCAGACCAAGCCTCCCAGCCCCACTCGGACCCAACCCGTCTGCACGCACAGCTCGATGAGGAACAGGGCTACCGACCTACCGCTTGCCGCAGGGACCATATAATAGTATACCTTGATGGTAATGGAGCCAGATTTGGGCCAGTGCATCAGTCACATCCTCAGCCAGACCAAGCCTCCCAGCCCCACTCGGACCAAAACCGTCTGCGCGCACAGCTCCATGAGGAACAGGGCTACCGACCTACCGCTTGGCACAGGGACCATACGATAGTATACCGTGATGGCACTGGAGCCATATTTGGGCCAGTGCACCAGTAGCATTGTCGGCCAGACCAAGCCTCCCAGCCCCACTCGGACCAAAACCGTCTGCGCGCACAGCTCCATGAGGAACAGGGCTACCGACCTACCGCTTGGCACAGGGACCATACGATAGTATACCGTGATGGCACTGGAGCCATATTTGGGCCAGTGCACCAGTAGCATTGTCGGCCAGACCAAGCCTCTTGGCCCCACTCGGACCCAACCCGTCTGCGTGCACAGCTCGATGAGGAACAGGGCTACCGACCTACTGCTTGGCACGGGGACCATATAATAGTATACCTTGATGGTAATGGAGCCAGATTTGGGCCAGTGCATCAGTCACATCCTCAGCCAGACCAAGCCTCCCAGCCCCACTCGGACCAAAACCGTCTGCGCGCACAGCTCAATGAGGAACAGGGCTACCGACCTACCGCTTGGTGCAGGGACCATATAATAGTATACCTTGATGGTAATGGAGCCAGATTTGGGCCAGTGCATCAGTCACGTCCTCAGCCAGACCAAGCCTCAAACCTAAGCGGACCATAGGGCTGGAGCGTCCGAGGCTCCCACACCTCAATCCTGTAACTGACCCAACCTGAAACTCTCACACCCTATCATTCACTGTGTGGAGCACCTGTCACCAACAGGACAGGGTCTCTGGGCCAGATCCTTGCGCAACCCACAACCTAAGCGGACCATAGGGCTGGAGCGTCCGAGGCTCCCACACCTCAATCCTGTAACTGACCCAACCTGAAACTCTCACACCCTATCATTCACTGTGTGGAGCACCTGTCACCAACAGGACAGGGTCTCTGGGCCAGATCCTTGCGCAACCCAAAACCTAAGCGGACCATAGGCCTGGAGCGTCCGAGGCTCCCACGCCTCGATCCTGTAAGTGACCCAACCTGAAACTCTCACACCCTATCATTCACTGTGTGGAGCACCTGTCACCAACAGGACAGGGTCTCTGGGCCAGATCCTTGCGCAACCCAAAACCTCAGCGGACCATAGGCCTGGAGCGTCCGAGGCTCCCACGCCTTGATCCTGTAGTGCCATGCTTTACTGCCACCCCTGCCCACCTTGACCTCCTCAAGCGCTGTTGTTTGCCAATCTTGCAGCGTTACACTCTGATGTGACTGGACTGCTCTCACTACTTGCACAACAGCAGTGTGCCCTGAACTTGTTTGCCCCAACAGCCTCCGTCGAGCACTTGCGCAAGCCCAACCTTTGTTGGTCACTGCTAAGCCTCTCCACTATCTCTTGCTGCCCGTTGTGCCAGAGGGCCGGTCCTCCTCCACCGCTTGCGTAGCTCTGTCTGTCTCTCTTGACAACCTATCTCTCCCTCTCTTACCTGAGGTCTTGTGAGAGCATTGCTGCAGCTCCTGACCACCCTGCGATACCGTCCTGCCGCGCCTCTGATCTGGGCCAAGTTGCGAGGGGGTTGTCCGCAGCAAAAGGAGCCGCACACTTCCCCTGCCGCGCAAAATCCAAGCGCCAAAACAAAAGCTCTTCGACCGGGAATTGAACCCGGGTCTCTGCCGCGTTGGTCCATGAGGACTGACAAGGCAATATACTAGCCACTATACTATCGAAGATGCGCTTGGGCGTCACATTAGATCTTGCATCCCAGTTCAAATCTTCTTTGCGCGCCGCTGCTGCGCGGTGGACAGACCCGCAGCCTCCGGACGACACGCGAGAAGGAAGGCCTGGCTTGCAGACCCGACGAGAGGCCGAGAAGAGGGGATCACGCGGCAAAAACCCAAATTGCGGTCCAAGGTGGATACGTCGGCACGCCGCATACATGCAGGCGAGATAGTATAATGGCTAGTACACTCGGTTCTGACTTACTCTGCTTCCGAGCAATCTGGGTTCGATCCCCAGTCACGCCTCCCTTTTTGGCCAACGCGCGCTCCGTCTCGGTACGGTCATGCACTCGTCCTCGCGCGACCGGCCGCGCAAAACGGTGCCGAACTGAGGGGGACGAGGTCTCTCTTTGCACTTTTGCCGCAGGAGGACCGCTCTAACGCGCGCTCTCGCTTTCGAGCCCGGTCGACTTTCTCGAGTGCACGGTGCCAGCAGGGAATGGTGCGGTTGCAGGTGGACGCAAGGAAATAGTCCCGAGAAGTCCTGCGATAGAAGAGAGGGAGAGGGAAGAGGTTTTACAGCCCGGGAGGAAGGAGGAGGGAAGAGGGCGGGCACAGAGGCGGACACGGGCACGTCTAGAGGGGGTGGTGGGAGGGCGAGCGGGGCACTGACTACACGTACCTGTGTGCGGGCGAGGGACCGTCAGTCGGGGTGCGTGAGGGAGAAAGGGAGAGGGGGCGCACTTGGAGAAGAGGGGAATGAGGGTCTGAGCGAGGGTGAACGAGAAGATGAGCTTGGGGCCGACGACGCTGTGTGCGCCGGATCGAAAAGACATGTCAGTGCGCAACCCTCGCGAGAAAGGAGAGCGAGGCGACGCACAGGACCTTTGGCGTCAAGCCCTTGAAGAAGGCCGACGCGCCCTCGTTCTTGATGAGCTCGCGCACGACCGTCATGCCGCCGACCTTGCTCTCAAAGTTCTGGTTCTGGATGCGCGTCTTGATGACGTCGAGCGGCTGCGAGATGGCGATGGACGAGATCTGCGTGAATCGGGTGGGCGACGGTCAGCTCTGGGTACTCACGACGACGAGGACGAGGGAAGGGAAGAGAAGGGCAGGCAACAGGACGCACCGATCCGGCGATGGACGCGATAAAGTTCTGGTACCACGTCGCCGTGCGGTAGTCCTCGAGCTTGAACACGTACTCCTTGGTGAACGCCGAGCCACCGAACAGCTGCGTAGTGCGGGGCGAGGACAGGGTCGAGTCAGTCTCGGTCGGTCGGGCTGACTGTCGGTCCGGCCCGGCGAGAGAGAGGGAGAGAGGGGAGAGAGGGAGGGAGAGCGGGGGAAGAGAGAGCGGGACGCACGGCAAACGAGCCGGGCGCGTTGCGCGCGGCGGTCCACGACGCGCCGCGGTACAGCGAGAAGCCCTCGTCGCGGACGATCTGGACAAAGCCGCGCGAGCGGAACGCCTCGGGGTTGGTCCTGCGCGAGGTTCGAGTGAGCGGATCCGGGTCGGGGGAGACGAGCTTCCGAGGCGAAGGAGAGAGAGGGAGGTGCGACGCACTGACGCTTGATCTTGAGGACGTCGAGGGGCAGGAGGACGATCTCGCCGATGCCGGTCAGGCTGCGCAGGGAGGGGTGGGACGGCGGGCCACGTTAGCGCTGCGGCACGAGGGTCGGCGCCTGGGAGGGGGGAGGCAAGGACGCACGAGCCGGCAGTGGCAGCCATCATGGCCTTGCCGTTCTTCTCGCCGAACGCGCCGTCAAAGCTCTTCTTGAAGTTGCGCGACAGGAAGTCGTTGAAGTACGGCTGGCCGCCAAACTGCGAGGCGAGGCGAGGCGAGGCGATGGGAGGTGCAGCCGTCAGTGACCATCAGGGAGCGCCGAGGGCGAAAGGGGAGAGGTGCGCACCTTGTAGACACGCCTGCACGCGGGAAGGAGACGAGGGAGAGGTCAGTTCCTGGGTCCGTCGAGTCAAGGGAGACGAGGGAGGGAGGGAGCGCACTGGAGGACTGCACGAGGGGGAACGAGCTAGGTCAGTACGACTCTGCGGAGCGAAGGAAGAGGACCGGGGACGCACCCTTGTACCCTGCGGCGTAACCGAGACCCGGGAAGAGCGACAGGAACTTCTGACCGGCGCGCGCGTTGGCGTGCTCTCGGAAGACGATCTCCATCATGGGCTTCTGTGGGTGGGGCGCGTGATCCGTCAGCTCGGCGTGCGAGGGAAGGCGGACCAGGCTAGTGGGGGCGAGACGCACGCCCGTGACCTTGTTGGACATGAGGCGCTTGGCGACCGTGTCGCTGCGGCGAGGCGAGGGAGGGGCGCAGAGGTCAGCTTCGGGTGCAGAGGAGGAAGATGGAGGCGAGTGCGTACACCGGGTGGAAGATGATGAGCTCGGCGATGCCTGCGGGAGGACGATAGGCGTGATCAGTTTGGGGAACCGGGGAGGGAGGTCGAGGAGGAAATGGAGGGACAGACCCGAGGTGCCGGAACCGAGGATGCGGGCGGCGTGCGAGTCCTTTCCACCGGCAGCAGGGGGCGACATGGCTACAGGTACGACGGGCGAGAGGGAGACCGGGGAGAGGAGAGAGGAGGAGCGAGGTGGGGAGAGACAGACGAGCACGAACGGGGCAAAACTCCCAGCGACCTCGTCCCCTCCTCTCCTCGTCGCCCTGGTCCTGCCAGTACCGCCCTCACTCGCCGCGATGAAGACCGCACGCGCCATCGTGCGCACCGCCAACCTCGCCGCCGCCCCTCGCCCCAGCCCTCCCTCGACCTCGACCTCGTCCTCCTCCTTCCCCCTCGCCTTCATCGGTCCCGGCGCACCCCGCTCCGTCTCGTCGTCGTCCGCCGCAGCCGCGTCCGCCAAGGCCCAGGGCAAGGCCGCCGCAGCACCAGCTCCCGCTGCCGCACCGGTCGAGCTCCCCGCCAACGTCTCGTACGGCCAGACGGCGCGCTCCCGGCTGCGCGACCACTACGACGCGTCGCTCTCGCACGACCTCCTGTACCTCCTGTACTCGCACCCGACCCACGTCGAGGCCCAGACGGGCCGCCTCCCCGACCCCTTGTCGCGCTCGCCCGTGTGGAACCCGGCCAACCCGTACGCGAGCGGGCGCGCGGCGCCGCCGCGCCCAAAGGGCAACCGGTACCTCGTGCCCAACCCGTCGTACACGTCGCCCGACGCCGTCCCGCAACTCGAGTCGATCACGGTCGAGTGCATGACCAAGACGGCCGTCGGCGTCAAGAGCAACCTGCTGCCCGTCATCATGGCCTTCCAGGCCATCACGGGCGAGCCGCTCCAGAGCAAGCACCCGGGCGCGTACGGCCCCGGTTCGGGCAAGGGCATCGTCGTCACCAAGTCGACCAAGAAGTCGGCGTCGTTCAAGATCCGCGCCGGCGCGCCGACGGGCGTCAAGGTCGAGCTCAAGGGCGAGCAGATGTACACCTTCCTCGAGTCGGTCGTCGATTTCGTCCTCCCGCGCCTCAAGACGTTCAACGGGATCCCGCTCCCGGCCGCGTCGCACCCGCGCCAGTCCATGTCGTCGACGTCGGGCGTCGTCGCGTTCGGCCTCCCGCCAGAGGCCATGGGCCTCTTCCCGCAGGTCGAGGTCAACCTCGACCAGTACCCGCGCGCGTACGGCATGAACATCTTTTGCGTCACGAGCGCAAAGGGCCGCGGCGCGCAGGACCAGGCGCGCGCGCTCCTGTCGGGCATGGGTCTCCCGTTCGTCAAGCGGTGAGCGAGGGCGCGGGCGCGGGCTGCGGGCGTGCATGTGCGCGAGGGGTTTGGGGCGCGGTCGTCGTCGTCGTTGTACTATTCGCAAGTCCAGGCTCTCTCATGGTCCGTGCGCGAGAGCGAGAGAGAGAGAGAGAGAGAGAGAGAGAGAGAGAGAGAGCTTCCTCCTTGGTCTCGCACTTCGAGCCTCCCTTCTCCTCCTTCGCTCTCGAGCTGTATGGAACGACCAGGGCGGCAACGAGGCGTCGCCGGTGCGCAGCGTACCGAGACGCACCTCTCGCTGGCTGTCGACCGGCAGGTCGTCGCTCGCACCTCCACTCCGCTCGCCCGGGCCCCTTGCTCGCTCTCTCTCGTCGCCCGACGCTCGCGCCCGCGATTCCGACGTCGACTCGCCCGGCGTCTCTCAGAGCGCTGGCTCGCCGGCTCGCCGGCGACTCGCAATCGACCGTGCAATGAGCTAAAAGTCGAGTAGCGCGAGAGCTTGAGGTGCGCAGCTGCTGGCAAAGCGAACGAGCGAGGCGCTCATCTCTTCAAGTTCGTTGCTCGGACAGATCGAAGCGTGTCTCGCTGCAGGGAGAGACGGAGTCTCTCTCCCTGGCTCGATCACCTCGGGAAGCAGGCGAAGCCAGATTGCCGCCCTCCTTTGTGCGACGAGCGCCGACGAGCGAGCGAGTGAGCGACCGCCCCGAGCGCGAGAAGCGCGTGTGCTCGAGAGGTGCGAGAGCTCTGAGAAGGCGCGTGCGCGGGCCAAGTGCAAAGGGAAGCCCGCGCCCGCAAGCGGGAGTGGCTCTGGTTGCACCCTCTCATTTTGTTAGCGCACTTTCCCTGCCGAGATGGACTCGCCGCCCGCGTCGACCAAGCGCCCGCGGGAAGTGTCCGGCGGCAACGTGAGACCTCATCTCTCTCGCGACCGCCGACCGCCGCTGCGCCCTGAAGGCAGCAGCAGCTCGACCAGCACCGCCCAGGAGGCCTTTGCCGCCTTGCTGTCGGGCCTGCACCCATCGTCGTCGCCGCACACACCTCGCGCGGTCGAGCGCGACCCGGTCTTCTGCGCCTCCCCGCTCTACTCTCCCGCCGTCGTCGTCCCGCCCACCACCGCCGTCGCCATGGACAGCCAGCCGCCACATGCGTTCCAGCACCTGCAGCACCAGCACCCGCACCAGCAGCCCCTCCAGCCCCAGCAGCACGGCGGCTACTCGCCCACCGACCCCTCGCCGTTCGTCACTGGTGCTCCCGCCGGCGGCCCCGCAGCTTCTCCCGGCGCAGAGGGCCACTACGGCGGCCATGGCGCCCTCGCGAGCAGCCTCCAGGGCCTGCACGAGCCATCTGTACGTCCCCCTCTCGCTTGCCTCTCTCTCGCGCCGGCTCCTCGCGCGAGGTGTGTGCGGCGGCGCCGGGGGCGGTGCTTTTCCTCTCCCACGCACGGGGCTGACCACACGCCGCCGCAACCCTCGCAGTACCCGCCTCCGATGCACCACGACACGGCCATGTCGCCCTCGTCGGCCGCCTCGTTCGCGACCCCGGCCCTGAGCCACGACGGCAGCGTCGTGTCCCTTTCTTCGTCGGCCGACTCGCCCGCGACCCTCCCGCTCCAGTTCACGCCCGGCTCGTCCCCGGCGTACCTCCACCAGGCGGCGAGCCCGGCCCAGGGCGACTACTTTGGCGGCGCCGGCGCCGGCGGGGTCGGTGGGTCGCCCGGCATGGTCGGCGCGGGCGCGGGCGTCGGTGGACCTACCGTCGGCCTCGGGTTCGGCGCGCTCGCCGCCGCCGAGGGCAAGGGCAAGGAGCGCCAGGGCCCGTCGCCCGGCGCGAGCGCGGGTGCGGCCGACAGGGTGGGCGCGCGCGCGAGCCCGGCAGAGCGGGAGCCGCCGAGGCGTCAGACGGTGCGGCCGGCAGAGTTCAGGCGCAGGGGCGAGGAGCTCGGGTTGTCGCTCGGTGACTTTGACATGCTTGACACGCTCGGGTGCGTCCCGTTTACCCCCTCGTTCTCTCTATCTCGGCGCTCCCTCGCGCGTCGTCCCTGACACCCTCTTTCTCTCTCGTCGCCCGCAGCACCGGCACTTTCGGTCGCGTCCTCCTCGCTCGACTGCGCACGTCGCCCAACCGGCCCAACCAGACGCAGCCGCACTACTTCGCGATGAAGGTCCTCGAGAAGAACACGGTCGTGCGCCTGCGCCAGGTCGAGCACGTCAATTCGGAGCGCTCGACGCTCGCGCACGTGCGGCACCCGTTCGTCGTCAACCTGTTCTGCACCTTCCAGGACGAGGCCAACCTGTACATGCTCCTCGAGTACGTCCAGGGCGGCGAGCTCTTCTCGCACCTGCGGCGCGCGCAGCGCTTCTCGGCCGACGTCGCGCGCTTCTACACGGCCAACATCATCCTCGTCCTCGAGAACCTGCACGCCCAGGACATCATCTACCGCGACCTCAAGCCCGAGAACCTCCTCATCGACTCGACCGGCCACATCAAGGTCACCGACTTTGGCTTTGTGCGTCCCCCTCGCTCTCTCGTCTCGCCCGTTCACGCTCTGACGAGCTGTCACGCACGCAGGCCAAGTACGTGCCCGAGCGCACCTGGACCCTGTGCGGCACGCCCGAGTACCTCGCTCCCGAGATCGTGCGTCCAACTCCTCCTCCTCGCTCGGACCTGTCGACCGTCGCTCACGCTTGCCCGCGCGGCAGATCACCGCCACGGGCCACGGCGCCGCCGCCGACTGGTGGGCGCTCGGCGTCCTCCTGTTCGAGCTCCTCGCCGGCTACCCGCCCTTCTTTGCCGACAACCCGCTCGAGATCTACGAAAAGATCCTCGCCGGGCGGTATGGCGTCCCGCGGCACATCGACCCGCTCGCCAAGGACCTCATCGGGCGGCTCTTGACCGACGACCTCACCAAGCGGCTCGGCAACCTCAAGGGCGGCGCGCAGGACGTCAAGAACCACCCGTGGTTCGAGGGCGTCGACTGGGAGTCGCTCGCGCGCAAGGAGATCAGGGTGCGTCCGCGCCGTCCTCCCGTCCTTGTCAGGCTCGTCGCAAAGTGGCGCCGTGACTGACTAGCTCGTCGATGGTGCTCTGCGCAGGCGCCCATCATCCCGATGACGATCAACCCGGGCGATGTGAGCAACTACGAGCGGTACCCGGCGACGGCCATCGAGACGCTGCCCGGCGTCCTGCGCGCCATCTCGCAGCGCAAGTACGGCTTCAGCCCCGAGAAGGGCCCCGACCCGTACGGGTACCTGTTCCCGCTCTTCTAGGAGCCGGGCGCCGGTCGTCGTCCTCCTCGCTCCCTCGCTCCCTCTCTCTCTCGCACCCTTCTCGCGCCTTTGCCGTTCTACCCTCGTTCCCTCCCTGTGAGTCGTTGTCACCACCGCACCTGCATAGCGTCCCTCGTCCTCCCCTTCTTCAGCTTTGTCGATTTCCCCTTCCAGCTCCTCGATACCCTCTCGCTCTCTCTCTCCCTCTTCGCCCGCCCGCTTGAGCACAACCACTATTCCCCCCTCGCGCCTCGTAGTTCGTCGTTCCCTCGCAAACCCGAACTCGCAGCTTTTCCTCTCCCTACTGTCGTTGTTTCCGACCGTGCCCGCGAGAGCGATCGAGCGAGACGAGGAGAGAAGCGCTCTCGAGAGCCGTGGACGTGCCGAGAGAGAGGGACGAGGACAGGACAGCACGAGTTGCACAGCTCACACAGGCACAACGAGTCTACAAGGTGGAAGGGAGGGGAGGGCCAAGAGAGAGCTAGTGGCGCTCAGGCCCAGGCGTGCGAGAGGAGGCGCTGCGTCGCGACGAGGCTCTGGTACTTGACGTCCGGGTCGGCGTGCGTCATGAGCTCCATGACGCGCGCTTTGGCGCCGAGGTCGTCGATGGCCCTGCACGCGGGAGGTGTGCGCGAGCGAGGGGAGGAGGAAGAGGAAGAAAGGAGGGAGGGAAGGGAAGGGAGGGAGGAAAGGCGAGGTGAGTGACCGTGCGGGCGAGCGCGACGAGAGGAGGCAAACGCGAGACGCACTTCTTGGCGTTGTCGTAGAACTTGACGAACTGGGCGAGGTCGTTGGCGGCGACGGCAAGCGTCGTCGCGTCGTGCGAGCTCATGAGGATGCGCACGAGGACCCTGTTTCGCGCGCAGGCGGAGCGAGGGTCAGTCCTGCTCATCTCTCGCTCGCTCACTCGGTCCAGGCGAGCGGGCGCAGACAGAGAGAGAGAGAGAGAGAGAGACGCACTTAAGCTGTTCGCGGTCGCGGTCGACGAGCTTGGGCGCGTTGTCGCGCCAGAAGTCGTCGTTCTTGTGCGGCGGCGACCACGTCAACTCGCCCGACGCGAGCTCCGACTTGTACTCGTCGTACGTCCTGTGCTCCGGACCGCCAGCTAATCAGCGTGCGCTCGACCGGCGGTCGAACAGAGGCCGAGAGTGCGCAGCGAGAGGGGGACGCACGTGAGGCCCGCAAAGCTCGACTTCAGCTCGTCGACGAGAAAGTCGACGTCGTCCTTGATCTCGTCGTCCGAGAACTTGCGGCCTTGGAGCGTCTGGACGTAAGGGAGGACTTTGGCGACGAGCATGGGCGCGAGGTTGGCCTTCGGCGCCTTGGTGACGAGGTTGCGGAACGACGCGAGCGCGACGCGGATGACCTTTTCCTTGATGGCGCGCTTCGAGACGTCGAGGAGGAGCGGGATCAGGTTGTACTGCCTGCGCGCGCGAACCTCAATCGCGAGTCAGTCTCGCGATCGGGGAAGGACCGACGACGACCCGACAAGGAGAAACGCTCGTAACGCACGCGTTGATCTCGGCCGCGATGCGGTCCTCGAACGTGAGGAGCCAGAAGCAGAACGCGAGCTGGTACTGCATCTGCGGGCTCGGGCTCGCGCGCAGCAAGTGGACGAGGCTGTTGCGGGGCGTGGGGTGCGGGCGCGGCGTCAGTGCTCTGCGCATGACGCGAGGGGGAGATGAGAGAGAGTGGACGCACCCCTCGATGACCTTTGGGGCGGCGACGGCGTCTTTGCCCTCTGTCGGGCCCCAGCACATGGTGCGCGCGCGCGACACGCGCAGGACCGACTCGAGGCACTGGACGGCGACGTCCTGGCCCTCGGGGTCATTCGGTTGCCCTGGGTGCGCGGACGAGTGCGTCAGTCAGAGGGCTCTGGCGAGAACCGGAGAGAGAGAGAGAGGGCAGCGCACGGACGAGGTTGGACAGGTGCTGCAGGAGCTTGGCGATGACGTTGTCGGCCGGTGCGCGGTCGTACGACAGGATGGTCGACGTGATGGCCGACGCCTTGAGGCGGACAAAGTCGTCTTGAGAGTCGAGAAGCCTGTGTGCGGGTTGCGATGATTAGCGCGGTGCGTGCGAGGGGAGGAAGGAGGGAGCGAGGACGCACTTGAGGAGAGGAGGGTACGGGGAGTCGGAGCCAGAGATGAGGAGGGAGATGCGCTCCTCGCGGTCTGTCGGGAGGCAGAGGAGAGTCAGCGCCGACCCAAGATCTGGCAGAGGGAGGAGCGGGACGGACCTGCGATGAAGTCGCCGAGGAGGACGAGGACAAACTGGAGTGTGTCGTTGCGCGACAGCTTGTTGAGTAGCCGAATGTACAGTGCCGCGTACGTCTCGCCCTCCTGCGCACGCGGGACGAGAGGCTGGGTCAGCTCGAGGCCCCCAACTCGAGAGGGGGAGAGAGGAGGGAGGGACGACGGACGGCATCGAGAATGGGCTCCGCCTTGTCGCGGCTGGCGGCCACTCGCTGAATGAGCTGAACGTCGTCCTGGCCGAGCAGACCTGCGCGCTGGTACCCCTGCGAGCGGTGCGTGAGCATGACGACGAGACCCGCGTCGGCTGCTCCTCGTCGAGGCAGGGGTCGGGGAGAGAGAGAGGGGGACGCACGTCCCAGGGGATGGCCTTTGCGCGGATCTTGAGGCTGCGGTCGCTCATGAAGGGGTTGGCGACGAGCGACATGGTCGAAAGCGACCGGGCGGGGAAGGGGGAGCGAGAGGTTGGCGAGCAGGGGATCAGGGGTGCTGGCTGGTGGAGCTGCTGCCGAGTCGAGTGCTGCCGTGTAGAGTGGCGCTGGCGGTGCTAGAGTCGAGCTGTGGTGAGAGTGGCCGTCCTCCTCTCGATGGAGACAACGACGCTTCTTGGCTCCCGACCGCTCACTCTTACGCTTGCGCTGCGCCGCTCGGGGCCGCCAGAGGGGCCGGCTCACCTGCTGTGCCACTCGCGCTGTCGCGCACTCGCTCTGCTGCACCTCCACCTCGCTCGCTCCGCTTCCTCCTCCTCGTGCCTTCTCTCCCCCTCTGGCCCCGCTCTGGCCTTCGCACCGCTGCGAGCCGTCGCCGCGACGACCTCGTCTCGCTCTGATTCTCTCTCTCTCGCTCCTCGTCGTCGCTCTCGCACTCGTTCCCCAAGCCGCCTCGACCTCGCTCATGTACCCTCCTTCTCTCCGTCGCTTCTCTTCCCCGAGCGCACGACCTGAACTCGGTCGCCCCCTCTAGGTCTACCGTCGCACAGCCCTTTCAGCCGCACTTGGCTCGTCTCCCCTCGCCCTGCGCCAGCTGCACCTGCTCGGTGCGCCCCGCTCCTCTCCTTCGCGCGACCGGTCGAGCAACAGCAGCTGACCCGCTCCTTCTCGCAGACATCGGGCTGCCCTCGCCTGGGGTCCGTCGAGCCGACTGTCAGCAACGCCGACGTCCAGATTACGCTCGCGCAGGTCGAGCGCGGCGAGGACCTGCAGAGCTGGAGCGAGAGCGAGCGCAGCGACCTCGAGCGCGAGATTGTGCGTCCGTTTCGTTCCGCCTCTGCTCGCCCGCCTCCTCGTGCATCCGACTGACTCTCTCTACCTCTCGGGTCCGCAGGTCGCCGCATGGGAGAAGGAGGCGTGGTGAAGCAGCCCTCGTCGTCGCAAGCCGCTCGTCGCAGCTGTAGATAGATCTCTCGCCTCGTGCAACGCTTTAGTTCTCCCTAGTTCGGTCTGCCTCGCGCAGCTCATCTCCTCGATCATTGCGGCCTACGGCGACTGGGGCTTCACCCAGGTCCGCGGCGTCTCGGGTGGCTGGATCGGCATCGTCTGGTGCGTCCCGTCTCTCTCTTTCGTCTCCTTGGTCCAGGTCGCTCACTCTTCTCTCTCTCTCTCGTCGTCTTCAGGGTGTGGAACATTGTGTGGTTCTTCCCCTTGGACTTTGTCAAGTTCGGCGTCCGTGCGCTCGTGCGCATGTACAACACTCGCCGCGGCAAGCACGCCCAGGGCATCAAGCCGGTCGACGGCGTCCCCATCACGCGCACCCAGTCGCGCCACGAGTCGCTGTACTCGAACCGCACCGCACCTCGTTCCTGCGCCGCGCCCAGAACTCGGTCGGCCTCGGCAGAGATAGAGCGAATTGGGCAGCACGTCCGTCGTTGCAGCGCCTCACGGCAGCCTCCGAGCCCCACCTCGCTCGCCGCTCCACAACGCTCGCACCGTCGCCGTCCAGCTCGCCCACGCCGCCCGGACCGCGTCCCACAGCCCGCCGAGCCAGCCTCGCCCTGTGCTCGTCCTCGCCGCCGCTCCGAACGCAGCAGCCGACAGGCTCACGACGTCGAGCGCAAAGTCGCCCGCCTGGTCGCCAAAGTGGGACCGTGCCATGAAGCTGAGCCTGCGCGCACGAACCCGCCCTCGCGTCGTCAGGTGCCCGCCTGAGGAAGAGAGAGAAAAAGACAGAGAAAGAGAGAGAGAGGGGACGCACTCGTAGATCCTCGCCGGGTCAAACGGCTCTGCGTCGTCCGCCGGCCGCCCGCGGTACATCGGCTTGAACTCGTCCCACCTCGCGAGCCTCGTCACGCTCCGCTCCTCGCCCTTCTCGCCCTTCTCACCCTTCTCGCCCTCGACGTCGCCCTCGAGAAGCCCGTCGAGGTGGTCGCTCGCGTCAAACGCCCACTCGTACACCGTGACGCTCTCGCGCCTGCCGTCCGGGCGCCGTGCGGGCTCACTCGTCTTGAGCGCGAGGACGAAGCGGGTCACGGGGCCGGGGCCGCCGGCGGTGGCGTCGGTGAGGGACGAGGGAGGGGGAGGGACGTAGGTGAGGAGGAGGCCCGAGGTGCGCGAGCGAGAGAGGGACAGGCGCGAGGGGAAGAGGGTCGACTGCGAGGCGAAGCCGGCGCCGCCGAGGGTCGTGATGTCTGTGTCGGGCGGTGCACGTGTCAGTACTGCTCCGTCCACATGCACGCTGAGAGACGCACCGAGGTGGCCCTTGAAAGTCGCGACGTTGGTCCGGTCGTCGACGAGCCAGGACGACGAGGACGACCCGCCTCGCAGCGTGTCGTTGACGGCGTGGAATGTCGGCCACAGCTCCGAGGCACCGAACAAAGGCTGCAGGGCGTGCACAGTCAGCTCGGCGGGCGGTGTAGAGTGCGGGGAGGGCTCACCTTCGACATGCGGGCTGATGACGAGTAGAGGCGGGCAAGCGACGGGGCGAGGCGAGGCAGCTTGGAGGCGGTCGAGAAGGTGTGCAAGGGGAGGTGTGCGGGCTTTGCTGGCGAGCTGGTGGCACGAGCGAGTTGCGGTAGAGCAGGAGACGGAGCTGTCGGCGGCCGCAGCGAACGAGCGAGACCCGTCGCCTCTGTCGAGCTCTTGCCCAGCAGGAGAAGCGAGCCCTTCGAATGCAGGCCGGAATGCAGAGGAAAGAGCGACGCAAGAGCAGCTCTCGACAAAGCCTCTCGCGAACCGACTTGGAGAGAGCGCGGAACGGCTTCTCGGGCCAGAGCGCTTCTACCGCGGTGTCCCGCCGCCATTCTCGACGCCGTATCTCGTCGCGAGGAGATCCCTGACGCCCGCCTTGGTCACCGGTATCCGCCCGACCCTCCTCCACACGCTCTCCTTCCCGACCTTGCCCTGGACCTCGCCTCCATCCGCGCTCGCCTCGATCGCACCCCTCGGGTCACTGCCCCACTGCCGATACAGGCGCAGGAGCATGTCGGCGCAGTCGACGATGTCGTCCTCGGTCGTGTCAAAGTGGGTCCACCAGGGGACGGGCTCGAGCGGGAGGGCGATTGGCGGCGAGGCGAGGCGGGTCGCGAGGTAGATGGACGCGAGCGCGAGGGTGCTCTGCGGATACAGGGCTGGTGCTGCAGTCTGGAGCCTGCAGGCGGGAGAGAACAGCATGCGAGTGAGCGAGGGAGGGCGGACCGCGAGGGAGAGAACGGCGAGGGGGGAAGAAGGAGCGAGGGGACGGGGACGCACAGGTCGTTGCAGATGCCCCAACACCGCCGCACGAGGTCCTTCTCTCCTGCGAGCTCGAGGACCTGGAGGTAGTTGACGAGGTGCCCGTACGGCAACCCGCACTGCGTCTGGAACGCGAGCCGCTTGAGGATCTGCATCTCGGCGATGACCATGGCGTCCTTGAGGTCGTAGAACTCGGTCGCAAAGTAGTCCATCGGGACATAGGCCTCGAAGGTCGCGGCCGGCGGGTACGGCGGTGTCGAGCAGTAGGCGACGAGGCTGTCGAGGTACGAGAAGCAGTTGACGATGTCGCGAATCCGCAAGGGCGCCTCCTCCAGTTTCGATGCGAGGAACAGCGCGCCCATGCCGACGTCCTGCAAGGGAGACGAGCATGTGAGCGTTCGTGGACGAGCTGGCGCGTGCGAGAGGAGGGAGGGGGACGCACGCGTATGCCAAAATGCTTGAGCGAGGTCACGAACCAGAAGCGCTGGAAGAGGACTTGAGCCGTTGCCATGACGACCTGCGAGCTGCACGCAAGGTCGTCAGTATGTGCTCCAGACGCCCTCGAGGGACTGCAGGACTCACGCCTTGAGCATGATGCCGGCTTGCTGGATGAGGAGGGCGCCGTCTGCTCAACGCAAGGGTCAGCTCGGGACCGCAGAGAGACCAAGAGGGATAGTGCGCACATGCTCGGAGGTCTCGCTCAAGCTCTGCTGGCACGCCGTCGAGTGCAGAGGGTGTCGGCACTCCGAGCGGGGCGAGAGGGTTGAGGAGGTGTCGAGACGCCATCGCGGCACGAGAGGGAGCGCAGGCGAGCTCGTTGATCGTGGTGAGGGCTGGCCGAAGCTGCGCGGTCTCCTCTGGCGTGTGTAGGGAGGTCGGGTGGTGAGGTCGAGGTCGACGAGGATGCTCTCATCTCTCTCTCCTCCTCACCACTCGCCAACCGCTCGCATTGGCTGCCTTGCAAATGCAGTCTGCTCCAGGCACCTGTCTCGCAGCTCGCAGCTTGCAACTGCTCGTCCCCGCTGCTTCGTGACGATGGCGCTCTCGGCCTCCTCCGGCTCGCCTCGCCTCGCGCTGTGACGGTTGTACGCGCCCGGGTCGAGCCCGCTGCGGCTCCTCGGAGGACACTGTCATCCTGTTGAGCCCTCTGTACCCTGCGCAGCTGCCAAGGCCGTCCTGCCATGGCGGCCGCCGCGAGGATGGCTCTGCGGACGGCGCTCCTTCGCACCCGCACCTGCTGCTGCTCCCGAAGCGCTGGCGGGCGAGCGGGACGTCAACTCGCTCAAAGCCTCTCCATGACGAGCGGCGCTTCCTTGAGCTCCTGCTGATCGGGGCTTTACGCTGCGCTGAACCCGCTCGCGAGCGGCTTTCGCGCCGAGACCTCGTTCTGCTCGTTCTCGGACGGACGGCGCAGACCGCGCCTCGAGACATGCGAAGCTACTCTTCTCAAGGCACTTCGCTGTCGAGCGCACCGGACCCGCTGTGCCTCGAACCGCGCTCGACGAGCGTACGCCTCGTCCGCTCGTTCCCCTCCCTGCCGGTCCCTCTGCGTCCGCATCCGTCCTCACGAGACGCCGGCAAATCGATCCGAGCGGAAAGGAGCCAGAGGTTCGCAAAGTGTCCCATACATAAAGAACGCATGTTGGAGCGCGCGCGGCTGCGCAGGATCGCCAGAGACGTTTGCAGCCGAGCAGACGATGGTCGAGCCCAGCTATGAGGCCGCACACCTCGTCTTTAGCGCCGCCCAGACCCAGAGGCCGCGCATGAGAGCGCCGGAGGAAGAAGAAAGAGCGCGTTCGAGGCGAGGGTCCGCCAAGCGGAAGTGCCTTGCCCAGGCTCGAGCCTCGAGCTCGTGGGGGGAACTGCACGCGATACGGCGGGAAAGCGGACTTCTGGTCGAGCTGGGCGGCGACTGCGAGGCGTGCAGTGGGGGGCGCATACACCTCCAAGTGCCGCAAGCGCGAGCGAGCCAAGCCTGCAGAAGCTGAGGTCGCAGGGTGCGAGCGCACCGCAGTGCTCGAAGGCGGCCGCGTTCGCCGCTCGGATGCATCCAGTCCGTCGCCGAGGCAGGGCGCGCAGTCCGAGAGAGCCTGGGAGCGAGCAGAGGAAAGCTGCGTCCAAGCCGAATGACCTGTCGCCCGGGAGCGCCGACGGAGGGTCCGTGCGGCGAACGGACGAGCGTCGTCCGGCGGGAAGGCGACGAACGGCACTCTGCGACCTGCTCGAGAGCGGCAGCGGCACCCCAAGAGCGAGCAAGCAAAGATAAGCTGCCGCACGCAGGAAAGGAGGACCGCTCCGTGCCGACGTGCGAGCCGCACGGCCCGCGGCCGGCGCGCGCGCGTGCCCAAAGGTCAAAAATGGCGCGCGCCCGAACTCGCCGCCGACGACTCGGCCTCTCAATGATGCAACACCGAAGCGCGTGGACGCGTGCATGAAGCGTGCGCCGCTCGCCGGGCTGCAGCGCTGAAGCCACCTCGAGCGCACGAGCCGACGGCATCGACAAGCTGCTCTCCCCGCCTCGACTTTGCGTGGGCGGCGTGGACGTGTATGTAGCTTCCGCTCGCCTCTCGAACGCGCTCAAGCAAGCGCATTCGAATACTAGTTCTCGGGTGCGTCGAGGAGGGAAAGCGGCGAGCCAGGCGAAGAAGGAAGGCGGACGACGTCTTCTTGGTGACGACGACGTCCTCGAGCTCGACGGCGGCACCTCCTCGGACGGGCGCATCTTCGGACGGCGCGCTGCTCTTCTCGGCTTGGAGGTGCGAGTGAAGCGGTTCCCGCTTTCAGCAGCCCGGCCGAGCCCCCGATGCAACTCCCCCAGACTCGCTCTCTGTCCCTCTCGGGCACCGCGCTCGAGCGCAGAAGTTGCCCGCCGCCCGCGCTTGCGCTCCTGCTGGCCCCGCACCCACAGAGGCTTCGGCCTCGCGCGCGCGCTTTCATTCTGCGAGGACAGGCCGAGCCGAGCGTCGAAGCAGAGAGCGTGCAGAGAGGTGCAGAGCAGCCAGTAAAGCTCGAACCGCGCAAGCCGTGAGCGGCCGAGAGGAACCGAGCTCTCCCAGGGCAGGCGGTGGCAGAAACGCGAGCGAGCGAGCGAGCGGGGGATGTGGGCGAGAAGCGGGCCGCGATAGGAGCGTCGGCTTGTTTGGCTCAACCTCGGTTCGAGCGGTTCGACGAGGCTGCCCGGGGGCTTGCGAGGGGGGGGGGGGCTCGAGCGCCGCGGCTGCCAAGCCAAGTCTCGACGAACGAGATGTCAGACGGACAGAGAGGAGCTGGCCGGCGGAGCGAGCGCTCGCACCCACGCCGGCGGACGCTCAGGGGCAAGTACCGCGGACGGACGGCTGCAGCGTAGAGATTCGTTTGCGCTGCGACGAAATCGGGCGAGAGAGTACGGCCTCGAGCCGCGCTACCTGCGCTCACTCTCGCTCGCTCGAGCAAGCCTGGGCAACATGCAGCAAGGCGCCATGTAGAGCAAGCCGAGGTACGGGCGCGCGCCTGGATCCGTGGCCGAGAGAGAGAGGTGGCGAGCCGCGAGGGAGTTTCGAGTTGCGGTTCGGCTCGAGGCCGAAAACCTCGGCTCCGAGGGTTTCGGCCAAAAAGTTTTGAGGGACGTCGTGGGACGAGGAAGCGAACGAGCTCTCTCGGCTCTCCTCTCTCCTCAAGAGCCTCGCTGCCACCAAGTTCGTCGACCCGTGCGCCGAACCAGCAGGACTCCCAGCCGTCGGCCCTCGCCAGCCTTCGTCGCCCCCGACCCTCGCCAACCCCGCTCGAGCCAGCAGCCCGACTCGCCTCGCCCCCGCCCCCTTGCGGCTCTCCTTCCCTCCCACCACTTCTCGTCCCCTCCTCTCTCCCACCCCCCGTCCTTACCGACACCCACCAACAGCCAGCATGAGTGCTCCTACGCACGCTGGTGAGGGCTCTGCCCCCGCCCCCGCGGCCGAGGTCGTCCAGGAGAAGCCCACCGAGGCTGCCCCGGCCGCCAACGCCCCTGTCGCCGAGAAGAAGGCCGGTCGCTTCGACAAGACCTTCGTGCGTCCCACTCTTTCTCTCTGTGCGCCCTCAGACGAGCGAGAATTGACAGTCTCGCCCGCTCCCGCCTCGTCCCGCCTCGCCCACTCGTCGCTCGGTGTTCGCGACCTTGCCCGGCTCGCAGGAGGAGGAGCGCGAGACCAAGCACGCGCTCGTGGACATGAGCACGATTGAGCTCAAGGCCGAGGACCTGTACGACAAGGTGCGCCCCGTCTCTCTCGTCCTGCGAGCCCCACCGCACCCCTCGAGCCACTTCCTGACGATTCCCCTCCCGCCCTCTCTCCCTCTCCCCCGCCGCTCGATCTACCGATCTCGCCCGCCATTGCGCCTTTCACCACCTGCAGGACAAGGTCGACCTCGAGCAGGTCGAGCTCGAGGACGTGTGGACTCTTCTCCAGTGAGTCGCTCGACTTGGGTCGCCCCTTCAGCCCCTCCCCCCACTTCACCCGCCTCCCTCGCGCCTCGGCGCCGTCCGACCTGCGCATCGACGCATGGGCGACGGCACCTGGCGAGCGCACTCGAGTGCCCGCGTCGAGTTGAGCGCACGCCCCGACTCGCGGCGCGCCCATTGGCCGCAAAACACGGACCCCGCACCCCCCCCCTGTCTCACCGCCCCGCCTCGCCCCCGCACTTCTCGCCTCGACTTTCGTGGACACGAGCACCTTCTCGCGCGCGCGCGCGCTACGCCAGGAGCACTCGTACTGACCGCGTCCTCTTCGTCCCGCAGGTGCAAGGAGGAGGGTCTCACCAACGCCGAGGCGGAGCGTCGCCGTGAGATCTTCGGCCCCAACAAGCTCGAGCACAAGGAGACGTCGAAGCTCCTCCAGTTCCTCTCGTGCGTCCCCTCTCTCATTCGGCGTCTCTGCCGCCCCTCGACCAGCATGTCCTGACACTCTCTCGCCTCGCCTCGCCTCGCAGGTTCATGTGGAACCCGCTCTCGTGGGTCATGGAGGGTGCCGCGCTCGTCGCCATCGCCCTGTCCAACGGCGAGGGCCGCGCGCCCGACTGGCAGGACTTTGTCGGAATCGTCCTCCTCCTGTTCATCAACTCGGCCATCGGTTTCTACGAGGAGAACTCGGCCGGCAACGCCGTCAAGGCCCTCATGGAGTCGCTCGCGCCCAAGGCCAAGTGCCGCCGCGACGGTGCGTGGCTCGAGATCGACTCGGCCGACCTCGTCCCCGGCGACGTGATCGCGTTCAAGATTGGCGACATCGTTCCCGCCGACTGCCGCCTGTTCGACGCCATCAACGTCTCGATCGACCAGGCCGGTCTCACGGGCGAGTCGCTCCCGCAGGGCAAGAAGGTCGGCGACCAGTGCTTCTCGTCGTCGATCTGCAAGCAGGGCGAGGCCGAGGGCGTCGTTATCGCCACGGGCGCCAACACGTTCTTCGGTCGCGCCGCGTCGCTCGTCGGCGCCGACGACGACTCGACCGGCCACCTGCAGCAGATCCTGGCCCAGATTGGGCTCTTCTGCCTCGTTTCGATCGGCATCTTCATCGTCCTCGAGATCGTCATCCTGTACCCGCGCTTCCACTACTCGTACCGCCGCGGCCTCGACAACATCCTCGTCCTCTTGATCGGCGGCATCCCCATCGCCATGCCCACCGTCCTGTCGGTCACGCTCGCCGTCGGTGCTCAGCAGCTCGCCAAGTACAAGGCCATCGTCACGCGCATCACCGCCATCGAGGAGCTCGCCGGTGTCACCATCCTCTGCTCGGACAAGACCGGCACCGTGCGTCCTCCTTTTCTCCCGCTCGGGCCTCTCTTTTTCTCCCTCGTCCCCTCGTCCTGACTCTCCCTCTCTCTCCCCTCGTCCCTCTCCCCTCCTCGCCTCGCAGCTCACGACCAACAAGCTCACGATCGACAAGTCGACGCTCAAGACGTACACGGCCGCCACCCCGGACGAGGTCATCCTGTACGCCGCCTACGCGTCGCGCACCGAGAACATGGACGCCATCGACACGTGCGTTACCGGCGCCATCCCCCAGATCTCGGACGCTCGCGCCGGCATCAAGCTCCTCGACTTCAAGCCGTTCAACCCGGTCGACAAGCGCACCGAGATCACCTACACGGTCGACGCGACGGGCGAGATGAAGCGCGCCACCAAGGGCATGACCGGCATCATCATCGAGCTCTGCTCGCGCAACAAGACGGCCGAGGTCGAGGACCAGCTCGAGAAGGACGTCGAGGAGTTTGCCGCTCGCGGCCTCCGCGCCCTCGCCGTCGCCGTCGAGGACGTCCCGTCGGGCAACAAGGACGAGCCGGGCAACGGCTTCGAGCTCGTCGGCCTCCTCGCCATCTTCGACCCGCCCCGCGACGACACCAAGCAGACCATCGACGAGGCGCAGGCGCTCGGCGTCAAGGTCAAGATGGTTACCGGTGACCAGCTCGCCATCGCCAAGGAGACCGGCCGTCGTCTCGGCCTCGGTGACCACATGTACCCGGCCAAGGTCCTCCAGGCCGGCGGCTTCCCCGAGGGCGGCAAGCACCTGAACCTCGACGAGATGATCCTCGACGCCGACGGTTTCGCCGGTGTCTTCCCCGAGCACAAGTACGAGATCGTCAAGCGCCTCCAGGCGCTCGGCCACCTCTGCGCCATGACCGGTGACGGTGCCAACGACGCTCGTGAGTCCTCTCCTCTCGCTCCCTCGGGCCCATTATCTCTCGTCGAGTCTTTACTGACTCTCCCTCCTCGCCCTGCAGCCGCTCTTTCGCGCGCCAACGTCGGTATTGCCGTCGAGGGTGCGACCGACGCCGCTCGTGGCGCCGCCGACATTGTCCTCACCGAGCCGGGTCTGTCGACCATCGTCCACGCCATCCGCCAGTCGCGCGTCATCTTCCAGCGCATGCGCAACTACTCGATCTACGCCTGCGCCGTCACCATCCGTATCGGTGCGTCCTCTGTCCCTCCTCGTCGTTTCGCAGGAGCGGCCCGTGAACTGACCTTGCGCCCTCGTCGTCGTTCGCAGTCATCGGTTTCGCCGTCATGGCCTTTGCGTTCCAGTTCGACTTCCCGCCGTTCATGGTCCTCATCATCGCGCTCCTCAACGACGGCACCATCATGACGCTCTCGCTCGACCGTGTCCTGCCGTCGGCCACGCCCGACTCGTGGGACCTCGGCGAGATCTTTACGTTCGCGTTCGCCTACGGCCTGTACCTCGCCGCCGGCACCATCGCGTTCTACTGCGTCATCATCTACACGACCTTCTTCTCGGACAAGTTCGAAGCTCTCATGTTTCACGTACTAAGCTCTCATGTTTGAACAATAAAATTAATATAAATCAGCAACTTAAATAGCCTCTAATGTCGGGCCACCTTTACTGACTCTCCCCTCTCCCCCCCTCGCAGGGTCGCCCAGATCTCGCAGGCCCTCATCTTCATCACCCGGTCGCACAGCTTCTTCTTCATGGAGCGCCCCTCGGTCGCCCTCTTCTTGGCATTCTGCCTCGCGCAGCTCATCTCGTCGATCATTGCGGCCTACGGCGACTGGGGCTTCACCCAGGTTCGCGGCGTCTCGGGTGGCTGGATCGGCATCGTCTGGTGCGTCCCGTCCTCTCTTTCGTCTCCTTGGTCCAGGTCGCTCACTCTTCTCTCTTCTCTCTCCTCGTCTTCAGGATTTGGAACATCGTATGGTTCTTCCCCTTGGACTTTGTCAAGTTCGGCGTCCGTGCGCTCGTGCGCATGTACAACACTCGCCGCGGCAAGCACGCCCAGGGCATCAAGCCGGTCGACGGCGTCCCCATCACGCGCACCCAGTCGCGCCACGAGTCGCTGTACTCGAACCGCACTTCGTTCCTGCGCCGCGCCCAGAACTCGGTCGGCCTCGGCAAGAAGGTCAGCGTCTCGCAGGCCGAGCTCCAGCGCTTCTCGTCGCACCAGGCTTCGGCCTCGGGCGCCGCCCTCCGCGCGTAAAGCGTCGTCGGCTCGGACCCCTCCCTCTTTCCCTTCCCCTCTCTTCGTCTTTCCCCTTTGCACACTCTCTCTCTCCCCTCCCCTCGCATATGCTCTCTCTCCTCTCCTCCCCCTCCCCACGAGTCTCGACCGCTCCACCCCTGTCCTTTCTCGCCGTCGCCTCTCGCGGTTCCCCCCTGTCCCTCTTCCTTGACTGCGACCCGTAATCCAAGCCTCCGTTTTAGAGTTAGACCTGCGTGCGTGCCGTCCGCGAGAGTGCGAGAGCAGCGAGAGCGTCGGGCTGCAGTACAAGTCGCTCGAGCAAGTCGTCGGCGGCCGCACCGCCTCGCTCCCGCCTCCTCGCGCCGCTCCTGCTCCACCCCGCCCACCAACCATGTTCCGCGCCGCCGCTCGCACCTGCAGGCCTCGCGTGCGACCAACGACCCGCACCGCACCTCCCGCCTTTCGCCGGTCCTTCTTCTGGGGCAGCTCGTCGTCCTCATCGTCGTCGGCAAGTTCGGCCGCCGACCTCGGCTCGGCGCACGTCCCGGCCGTCGCGCCCGACCTCCTGCCGCTCCTGTGGGGTGTCGTCGTGAGCCAGGCCGCGTACGACGACGACCAGGACGAGGACCAGCTCACGAGCCCGCCGTGGGAGGTGCGCGAGTTTGGCGACAAGGGCGCCGGCGCCGTCGCGTCGCGCGACATCGCCATGGGCGAGCTCCTCATCGCCGAGCGGCCGCTGTGCATCTGGCCCCAGGGCCTCAACGCCGACGAGGCCAAGAAGCTGTTCGACGCCCTCTCGCCGCGCGAGCAGGACGTCTTCATGCAGCTCTCGCCGGGCACCGACAGCGAGGGCCTCGTGCAGCGCCTCGACGAGGTCAGGGCAAGGAGGGCGACCAACGGCTTCAGCATCCCGCTGCCGCCTGTGTCCGGCGTGACTGCAGGAGGACGGTCGGTCGGCTGCGTCTTCCCGAAAATCGCTCGGTCCGTCCCCTCTCTCTATCTCTTTCGCCCATTGCGTCAGACACAGACCTGACGTTCTTGTCCGGACCCACAGCCTGAACCACAGCTGGTGAGCGGCAAGCGTTCCGCCCTGCCTCGACCGCGTTCGCGTCCTGACCTTCCTCTCGCGCGCCCGCAGCTCGCCCAACGCGACGCAAGTCATGAACGTGCGCACCCTTTCTCTCTTTCTGACTGTCGAGATCGTCTCTCATGGGCGAGGAATTGATCTCTCTCGCCGTCCACCCTCGCCCCCTCCTCGACTCGAACTCGCTCGTCGACCTCCTCCCCCTTGCCTTCTTCCGCACCTGCAGTTCCAGACGCTGCGCATGGAGGTCTACGCCGTCCGCCTAATCACCAAGGGCGAGGAGCTCAACATCGAGTACCTGCCCGGCGCCGTGACTCGCACCTCGGACGAGCGCCGAAACCTCCTCGCCATGCACTTCAACTTCCCGAGGTGCCTGTGCGCCGTGTGCTCGGCGTCGCCCGACCTTGTCGCGCAGAGCGACGCTCGGCGGCGCGAGGTGCGCCAGGTGAGCGAGACGATCAAGGCGGGACGGTCGGACCGCAAGGCGACCGTGGCCAAGATGGAGCGGATCCGGGTCCTGCTCGAGGAAGAGGGGTACAAGGCGCTGCCGGATTTCGGTGCGTCCTCCTCTCTCTGTATTTTCTCTCGCCCTCGCACTGTCTTCCAGCACGCGAGAGCCTGACTCGTCCTCCCCGACGTTTGGGCGTGCGCAGGAGACGAGGGCTTGAACACGTCGTACCGCATCTTCCTCGGGCTTCACGCTCGCGCGAACGACACTGCAACGGCATGAACGCGCCTTCAGCATCGACGAGCGTGCAGCACGAGGCGTCACCGGTGCCGGCGAGCTCGAGAGAGGAGGCGAGATGCTCAGCCAATGAGGGCGCGCCGCGTTCCCCTCGCTCGCCATCCGCAGCAGCTCCCTCGTCTTCGAGTTCGCCCTCGCCGGCTCGCCGCTCGACGATGCGAGGGCACGCGCTTCAGCTTTGCCTTTGCGCCATCCTCTCGGCTGTGCCTGCACCCGCCGCCGACAAAAGTGCGTGATGCGGGACGGCGACGCTGCCGTCTGCCGCCTCGACCTCGCGTCGTCGTCGTCGACAGCTCGAGACGGCTCATTCGCTGCCACAGCTGCACACCCATCAGCTTCGAGCGTCGCTACGAGCGCTCTCGGCCGTCCGACGATCGACGAGAATCCGCCGTCGCCCAAGTCGTCTCTCGTCGACCACGACCACGACCGGCCGGCCTCGTCTCGCCTTGCGCCATCTTCCTCCCCTTCTTCCGACTCTCTCACCCTCCCGCACCTAGCGCAAGTCACGGGCGTCGACCGCATCGACGCAGCCGCCCTGTCGAAGCTGCCTCCCTTCGCAGCCGGAGCAACCGCCGGCAGCACGGTCGACGCGCGCGACGCAGGGCTTCGACAGCTCGCACTCCTGCAGTCGCTCGTCGCGCGCCAGACGGCCGCACTGCGCGACGGGTTCCTGCCGCCGTCGGCCCTCGACGTCGGCGCCGTCCGAGACGCGTCGAGCGGTTCCCTTTCCCTGCCGCCCATTCAGCTCCCTCCTCCGTCCTCCCACCACGCACCGACCTTCCCCACCGTCTCGTCGCTGCTCAGCGACGCCATGCCCGCGACCCCGCACCAGTGGTCGACCAACCTCGACGGCCTCAACCACGTGGACCCGGGCGGCGCAGCCTATCCCGCGCTCGGCGGCGTGACGGCCGACGAGCTGCTCGCCGCACAAGCCTCGCTCGACCTGTGGAGCGCGACCGTCTTTAGCACCAACTCGCCGGCGGCCTCGCCGCCAGCGACCTCGCACGGTCCGCCGCCGCCCTCGCTCGACTGGTCGACGCTGTACCAGGGCAGCAGCCACCACCACGACCCGCCCTCGTCGCACGGCCTTTCGCCGCTCTCGCCCGTCTCCGACGCACCCCTTCACGGCTCGCCGCCCGCCACTCATCCCTTCCTCCCCTCCCTCAACTTCGCCAACTTCCCTTCTTTCCCGCCGCCATCGCGCGCCGGCTGTTTCTCCGGCCCCGCCTCCTCCGCGACCAATTCGCTCTCCTTCCTGCCGCCGCCTCGAGCGCCCTCGCCGCCTCAGCATGACGCCGCGACCGGCCCGTCGCCGCCCGCTCGGCGCAGCTCGCGCGCCAACGCCGGCGCGAAAGGGCGCGCAGCTCGAGCGGCCGCGGCGGCTTCGGAGGGCAGCGAGGAGAGCGGGAGCGCCGAGACGAGCCCACGGGCGAGCGGCGCGTTCGCGAGCGGCGGCGGCGCAAGAGGAGGAAGGAGCGGTTCGAGCGGCGGCGGGTACTCGTATGGCGTCGACGGCGCAGGGGAGCAACTGCCGCCGACGTACACGAATGCACAAGGTGTCACCAAGGCGAGGGAGCTCATGACGCCGGACGAGGTCGAGGAGGACAAGCGCAGGAGGAACACCGAGGCGAGCGGTGCGTCCCTTTTCCGCTCTCTCTCTCTCTCTCCCCTCGTCACATCGTCGCACCTGTACTGACGAGTCGGACCGTACAGCTCGATTCCGCGCCAAAAAGAGGATGCGCGACGCCGAGCTCAAGCAGTCGAGCGCCTCGCTGCGCGAGCGGGTCGCAAGCCTTGAGAAGGAGAAGGAGTCGGTGCGCCCTCTTCCTCGCCCTCTCTCTCGTCTCTCCTGAGCGGAACCCTCATCTCACGCTTGCTCTGCGTGCAGCTCTCGAACGAGAACCGCTGGCTGCGCGACCTCGTCAGCGAGAAGGCCGACATGCACCCTCGCATCCTCGACGTCCTGCGGCACTCGGTCACCGAGTAGTCCTTCCTCTCTTTCTCCCGCCACACCACCCATAGAGCTCCTCGCGTGTCCGCCTTTGTGCCCCAGTCAGTACCCCCTTCGCGCCGTCGGTCGGCGTCCCCTTTGCAGTAGCTGGAATTGACTTCCTTCGTCTCTTTCTCGCTGAGAGCTTTCGCGATACACGAGGGCGAGCAGAGTACAATGCAGGTGCGAGGAGGATGCGAGAGATGAATCTACGCCAGTCGGGTAAGGCAGGATCGAGACGTACAACGACAAGGGAGGACGAGGTCGGGAGGCGGGAACGAGCTCGCCGACTGGAGGAGAAGGTACTGGCGCCGTTGAGGCGTATCTAGGGATGCGAGTGTATGTGTGAGAGGAAGAGAGAGGAAGGGAGAAAGGAAAAGGGGAGGCTAGGCGGTGCGGCCGAGGACGGCGTCGACCTTGGTGAGCACCTCCTCCCACTCCTTGGCCGGGTCCGAGAGGTGCGTGATGGCGCCACCGGCGCCGAGTGTGAGGTCTGCAGCGGGTGAGAGGGACAATTAGCGCCGCGATCGAGGAAGAGAAGGAGACGAGGAGAAAGGTGAGCGCACCTCGCCCGCGCTTGACGAGGGTGCGGATCACGACGGCCCAGTCGCTCGAGCCGTCAATCGCGAGGAAGCCAAAGACGCCTGTGCATGTGGACGAGCTCGTCAGAACGGCTTGGGGTGACGATCGAGAGCGAGAGGCAGGACGAACCAGAGTATGCGCGGCGAGCGACGTGCCGCTCGAGGTCGTCGAGGAGCTGCAGGCTGCGCAGCTTCGGCGCACCCGTCATCGAGCCTACGAGAGAGACTCGGTCAGGACGAGAGAATGGAGAGAAGAGGACGAGCAGGGACGTACCAGGAGGGAACGCCTTGGCCATGGCCTCGAACGGGTTGACGCCCTCGCCGAGCTGGCCGACGACGGTCGTAACGAGCCTGCGCGGATCAAGCAAGTGATCAGGACCGCTGTCGACGACGCGCACGGAAAAGAGCGAGAGGGGGACGCACTGGTGGACCGTCTGGTACGTCTCGATCTGCATGAGCGCCTCGACCTCGACGCTCTCGACGTCGCAGCTCTTGAGCAGGTCGTTCCGGATCAAGTCGACGATCATGAGGTTCTCGGCGCGCTCCTTGACGTCGGCCTCGAGGGCGTCGCGGCGCCGGGCGTCCTCGACCGGGTCGGACGAGCGGCGCGCCGTGCCCTTGATGGGCTTCATGCTCGCGCGCCCGGCGGCGTCGATGCGCAGGAAGCGCTCGGGCGAGGTCGACAAGAGGGCGAGATCGTTGAGCGGGAGGTGGAAGTAGGCGGCGTAGGGCGCCGGGTTGGTGTTGCGCAGGGTGAGGTAGAGCGGGTACGGGTCGGCGACGAGGGGCGACGAGGGAGGGAAGGTCGAGCGGAACTGGGTCGTGAGGCACAGCTCGTAGGCGTCGCCGGCGACGATCGACCGGCGAGCCTGCTCGATCGACGCCATGTACTCGGCGCGCGACTGGTCCGGCGCAAAGTCGGTCGGGAGGGCGGCCGGCGCAGGCGAGTCGGGGTCGGCGACGGGAGGAGCGGCGAGCGTCTGCTGCACCTCGGCGACCCATGCGCTCCAGTCCTCCTCGCTCAACCCGACGTCATCGACAAGCGCCGCCGACGAGCCCGCCTCGGGGCTGCCGCCGCCGCCGCCGCCCTCGAGGCGCACGAGCCCGCTCGCGCTCCACTCGCCCTCCTCGTGCGCGTACGACAGCATGCAGCCCGCAAAGGCCAAGACGGCGCCGTCGTGCTCCTCGCTCACCGCGTGCGGCACGCGCGAGCGCGACAGCGGGAGCGTCACGTCCTTGACCTCGTACCCAACGTGGCCAACGAAGCCGAGCGGGCCGTGCGGCGCCGAGCTGGGCTGCAGGCGCGTCAAGCGCTTGAGGTGCGCCTGCGCGTCGCCGATGACGTTGAAGAAGGTGGTCGACTCCGGGATGGGCGAGGTGCGGGAAGAGGTGGAAGAGGTGCGGAGGGTGAGGGTCGACGCGCCGACCGAGTAGGCGAACGTCGCTTGCGGCGAGAAGACGTGAGAGTGCTGCGGGACGCCCGTCGGCTGCGGATGAAAAGAGTGCAAGTCAGGCGGGCCTTTTCGAGTGACGAGGACGAGGGAGAGCGTGGTCGCACCCTCGCCGAGTCGAGCCAGACCTCGCCGAGCTCCGAGCGCCCCTTGACGAGTCGCTCAAAGACGAGGCGCGGGGACCAGCCCTCTGCGACGTCGAGAGCGACTGTCCTTTGCTCCCAGGTCGGCGCGACCTGCTGCGCTGGCGCACGTGGGCGAGTCGGGCGGTAGGTCGTCGAGAGGGCGAGGACGTGCGGCGGCAGGTTCGGGGTGCACTCGGCGCGAGCGTGGAAGTTGAGGGCCGACGCGAAGAAGTTGCCGAGGATGCGCGAGCCGTAGGTGGACGAGATCGACTGCGAGATTCGAGAAGGTCAGTTCGGCGCGCTGCAGGACAGGAGAGACAGAGGGGCAGGACGCGCCTCGGGGTGGAACTGTACGCCCCACAGCGGCTTGTAGCGATGCCGGAGCGCCATGACCTCGTCAGACCCGTCTGCAGCCGCCGTCCACGCGATGACCTCGAGCTCGTCCGGGAGCGAGTGCGGGTCGACGACGAGGCTGTTGTACTGAACGGCGTCGAACGAGGTCGGGATGCCGCTGAACAGGCTGGACGAGGTACACGACGCGCACGCGTGGCGGATCGAGCTGACCTGGCCGTGCTTGGGCGCTGTTGCTCGAACGACCTGTTTCGAAGGAGAGGGTCAGCTCGCGCGGTCGAGGTAGGAGGAGAGGGTCGGCGAGGGCAAGGGGGGAGTACTCACCGAGCCACCGTGGACCGTCGCGAGTCCTTGACAGCCGAGGCACAGGCCAAAGATCGGGACGCGGTGGCCGACTTGGTCGAGGAGCCGAGTCGGCCACGAGAAGTCGCTCTTGCGGTGAGGGGTGCCGGGACCGGGGCCGAGGATGACGCAGTCCACGTGCGGGAGGATGTCGTGCTCGAACGAGTCCCTGGAGGGCGGACGTCGGCGAGGTTTATCTTCATCAGTTGGTCGGGAGGGAGGAGAGGGGAGAGGGAACTCACCACGACAGCGAGTCGACGTTGACGACCACGACCCGGTCCTGCCACTCTGCACAGTCCCACTGCTGCCCTGCGCCGTCGCCCTCGTGCGTTGACGCGCTGTCGCGGGCGAGCTGGTCGATGAGCTTGAGGATGTTGGCCGTGTACGAGTCCCAGAAGTCGAGGACGAGCACGGTCGGGAGCCGCCTAGTGCGAGCCCGTGTGCGCTTCGCAGCCATGCGGCGTAGCTCGTGGTGGTAGGACGGCCAGGCGATGTCGGCGGGACGACGTCCAAGAGAGCGGCGGCAGCGGCTGCCCGAACGTTGACTCTCGGCGACGGCTGCGGTCTCTCCAGAGGTACTGCCAGCTCTCTGATACGCTTGCAGAGAGAGACGCTCTGAGGCAACTGGCAGCGGAAGCGGCTCGTCCGTTCGAGCCTCTCTCCTTTCCCTCTCGCTCGGTCGCCGACGGCCTCTCACTCGCCGTCTCGCGCCGCCTGGTCGCCACGAGCCGTGCAGCAGGACAGTACACGACCTCGGCAGCCCCAGCGAGCGCAGCGAGACGGCAAGCGAGAGTCCAGCAGAGCCACTCGAGCGTGCAGGCACTGAAACTTGGGGCGCTCGGCCCTTCTTTTTGCACAGGACGAGGTGCGCCGACCTCGTGCGCTACGCTACAGCCGTGCGAGTCATGCGACCTTGACGAGGAGCTTGCCGGACGTCTTGCGGCTCGCTGCGGACGGGCGAGAGGCGGCGTCAGGCTGTGTCCTGCTCGACGAGCGACTCAGGAGGGAGAGGGAGAGGACGAGCGGACGCACTGATGTCGATCTGGGTCTGGCGCATGCCCTCGGTCGTGAGCTCGTACTCGCCGTGCACGGCGAGCTTGAGCGCGCCCTCCTGCACGAGCTTGAACAGCTCGGTCGAGTAGGACTGGAACTCGTCGCGCGTGTGCACGTACTGGTTGAGGATCGGGCGGCAGACTGCGGGGCACGAGAGCGATCAGTAAAGGCTCCGAAGAGACAGAGAGGACGAGAGAATGCCGGCGCACCCTTGAGGTTCTTGGGCCCGAGACGGAGAGGCGCAAAGGCGGGAGCCGGACCCGAGGCATTGCCGAGCGTGACGAGCGTGCCCTTGCTGTGCGTCCAGGGCGGGGTCGAGAGCATCAATGCCTCGCTCTGAGCGCGACGAGAGACGAGCGGGCGCGAGGGACGCACCGGCGCAGGAGGTCAAAGTCCATGTCGAACGTGTCCTTGCCGACGCCGTCAAACACGCCGTGGACGCCGCGGTCGATGCCCTCTGTGTGTGCAGCTCGTCAGGAACCCGCTGAAAGTGTACGAAATGAGAGAAAGTGGGACGCACCGCCGCCCGTGATGCCGTACACCTGCCCGACCACGTCGCGCCCCTCGCCGTACAAGATGACGTGGTCGGCGCCGGCCTTCCTCGCGATGTCGGCCTTTTCCTCGGTCGACGTCGTGCCGATGACAGTGGCGCCGAAGCGCTTGGCGAGCTGGACGAGGAGGAGGCCCAGGCCGCCCGCCGCCGCCTGGACGAGGATGAACTGGCCCGGCTTGACCTCGTGCGCCTCCTTGACAAACGTGAGGGCTGTCGCACGGCGCAGAGGAGTGTCAGTGCGTGTCGCTCGACGAGTTGGGCGAAGCTAAGGACGCACCGGTGAGGCCCTGGGTGAGGACAGTCGCCGCGTCGCGAGTCGAGAAGCCGTCGGGCAGCTTGGCGACCTTGTCGGCTTGCGCGATGGCGTACTCGGCAAAGCTGCCACCGGCCGTGTAGGCGGCGACGCGGTCGCCAACCTTGAACCCGTGCGACTGCTCGGTGACGCCCTCGCCGACGGCGGCGACCGTGCCGGCCGACTCGGTGCCGAGGACGTACGGGAGGTGCGCCTTGTAGATGCCGCCGCGGAAGTAGGTCTGCGGGTCGGTGCAGGGATGCAACGAGGTCAGTGCTGTGCGCCTCTGCGAAGTGGGAGCTCGCGAGCGAGCCAGCCGCGGCCCGCGAGAGGACCGGGGTGGCAGACTCGCTCCTCGTCGACGAGCCGGCTCGAGAGTCCGGGTGGGAGGACTCACGTCGATAAAGTTAACGCCGGCGTACTCGACCTTGACGAGGACCTGGCCCTTGGCCGGCGCGGGCGTGTCGACGTCTCGGACCTGGATCACGTCGATGGCGCCCTGCTCCTGGATCTGGGCGGCGCGCATCTTGGTCGGGAGGCCTTGCGTGGACGAGAAAGCCATGGTGCGGGTGAACGAGGCGAGGCGGGCGAGTGTGCGGGCAGAGGAAGAGGCGACGAGGGCCGGAGGTGGGGTCGGGAGCTGACTGAGCAAGGTCGAGATGGGGCGCGGGGACGGCGACGCGTGCGTGGACAGGGTGCGCGTTCTGGACAGTGTAGTGCGTGCGCTCAAGCGTGCGAGCATTCACGCGGGTGAGGAGAGAGAGCGAGAGCGTCGTCTCCGCCCGCGGCCGTCCGACGGCGCGCCGGCTCTCGGTCGCGAAGGCCTCGGCGCGAGAGGGAGAGAAATCGCTTTGCACGGCGAGAGCGGCTGAGGGTATCTACAGCGTCGGAACCGGGGTATGCACAATTCTAAGAGCCACAACACCCGAAACAAGTGAGGACGCGAGGGATGAATGAGGGGAGGGACGAGGCAAAGCGGCGACGCGCGAGGAGAGGAGAGGGCGGCCGCCGTCACGAGTGCGAGGACCAGTCGGCCGCGAAGGAAAAGTCGGCAAGGCTCGACGGGGCCCACGAGTCATCGTCGAGCGTCGAGTCGAGGGCGAGCGTCTTGCCCGCCGCCGCCGCCGCCGCCGTGCCGAAGAGGTCGCTCGCGTCGCTGGTAAAGTCGAAGCTGCCGAGAGCGCCGTGCGCCGAGTCGCCGCCCCACCCGCTGCCGCCAAAGAGCATAGGCGACGCCTCGACGGGCGCCGTGAGGGATAGGCCCGCGAGCGGGTCGGTCGTCGGCGCCTCGAGGCTGCTCGTGGTCGACGCCGACGCAGCAACGGCCGACGCGCTCGTCGGCGTGCCGAGGGACAACGCGCTCGCGCTGGCAGCGAGCGCAGCTTGAACAGGCGTCGCGACCTCGGCGAGCGGCTGCGGCGCGGCGCTCGACGGGCCGGGCGTCACCGGCGCCATGACCGAGCCCGTCGAGATTGAGAGCCCGCGAGACGACCGGGGCGAGGCGCTCGTGCTCGTGCTCGCGCTCGTCGCCGAGTCGGGCCGCAGCGCACGACTCGCGACGAGGTCGGGCGTCTCGATCGAGGCGGGCGAGGCGCCGACGACGGGCACGACGAGGTGTTGGGCCTTGCTCGACGACGCCGCCGCTGTGGGCTCGGCAAACGTACCGGTGCCCTCACGCTTGCGCCGCCCAGCATCGTCGGCGACCTGGCCGAGCTCGTTGGGCTCGTGCGTCCGCTCGCGCTTGCGCGAGCTGCTGCCCGTCCGGCTCAACGGCGGGCTGCCGCCGCCGGCGGGCGACAGGTACGGCGCGTCGCTCGGCGTGCGACGCAGCAGACCTGGAGGCGCCGACGAAAAGGGCGCGACCTGCCCTGCCGCGCTCGCGGCGTTCAAGACGGCCGAGCGCGGCGTCGGCGGCTGCATCGGCTCGGGGAGGACCTGCTCGCGAGGCGTCGACGACGTCTGCGGCGACAGCGTCGAGGCGGCGGTCGCGACCTGGAGCTGGGGCGAGCGCCGCACGTCGTGGTCGGTCGGGGCGGGCAGGCCAGCGAGCTTGCGCGGGCTGCCCTTGGTCGGCGAGTTCTCGGCGGCGGCGCGGTCGGCGAGGTGCTCGCGCTGCAGCTCTTTCGCCTGGGCGATGAGCTGCTGCACGGTCGGCTCGGGCGAGCGGGCCGACGCGAGGGCAGGCGCAGCGCTCGGACCGGTCGACGGCGTGAGGGGAAAGGCTGCGAACGAGTTGGCGAAGATGGACGACAAGCTCTGCTCGGGCGCCGACGAGTGCTGAGGGAGGGCGTAGGTCGGCTGGGGAGGGAGGGCGAGCGAGGTGGGGGGTGTCGGCGTCGGCGTCGAGGCGTTGACGAGCCCGGCGCCGGACGCCGAGGGGACGAACGGGAGGTGCTGCGCAGGCGACGAGGTGACCGACGGTGGCTGGGCGAACGACCCGGCGCCTTGCTCGCGCTGCGCCGGCGGCTGCATGGATGGCGGCGGCGGAGCGTGACCCATGCCGTTGGCGAGGTGCATCGGCTGAGGAGGCGGACCGCCGAGGCGCAGCTTCTTGAGCTCGTGCGACGCCCACGCGTCCTCGTACGGGCCGACGATGCGCATGTACAGGTCGCGCAGCTGGCCCGGCGCCGGCGAGCTCGGCGAGAACCCAAACTGCGACGCGATGTGCATCCACGACTTGTCAAAGTCGCTCTGCGCGCATCGACGACGACGACGTCAGGACTCGTGCGACCAATCGGACGATGCGCGAGAGGGAAAGGAAAGAGGGAGAGACGCACCCGAACGTAGCCGCCGAATTGGCCAATGACGACCTGGCTGAGGCGGAACAGGTCGACGAGGCGGTTCTCAAGGACGAAGCCCTGCGGGTTGAGGCGCTGGCCGCGCTTCTCGAGCACCTGGGCGAGCGTGTCCCAGAAGAACTGCGACGTGACCTGCGGGCGCGAGCGGACGAGTCAGTGAGCGAGCTCGGCGAGAGGCAGGAAGAGGACGAAGAGGGGGACGCACCTGCGCTTGAAGGTCGGCGAGGCTGGGCCACCCTGGCTGACCCTCGGCGAGCGCCTGCGTCGGGTGCTTGATGCCGAGTCGCGCCTTGCCCGCCTGCTGCTGCTGCTGCTGCTCCACCTGCAAGTCGCGGGCCCGCTCGCGCCGCTCGTGCTCCTCCCGCTCGCGCCGCTGCGCCTCCTCCCAGGCGCCGCGCCCGTCGAACCCAGGCTGGCCCTGCCGCTGTCCCTGTCCCAGCCCCTGCGCGCCGCCCATCTGCTGCTGTTGCTGCCCGCGCCCGCCCGCCGCGAGCTGCCGTTGCGCCTGGTCGCGCGACGACGCGACCGCCGCCGCCGTCACGTGCGCGTGCATGCCCGACGCCGCCGAGTCGCGCTGCTGCGGCGGCGGTCCGCCACCACCACCAGCACCGCCGCCGCCGACGCCGCTGACGCCGTTGGGGTCGCCGCCGTTCGGGGCGTGCGGGTGCGGCCGCTGCGAGGGCCCGCCGGCGACAGGTGTCGGCGGCTGTCGCGGCGGCGGCGGGTGCGGCGACGAGTAGCCGTCGTGCGCGAGCGCCTGGCCCTGCTGCTGGGCCTGCTGCTGGGCCTGACGCTGCGCCTGGACGGCGTACTGCTGCGCGATGGCCGACGCCGAGGGCATGCGGCGCACGGGCCCAGGAGGAGGACCTTGTCGCTGCTGCTGCTGGTGGAGCGGCGGCGGCGGCGCGTGCTGGTAGTGCGACGGGTTGCCCTGCTGCGGCTGGAGCGAGACGAGGCCGGGCTGGGACGGCGCGAGGGTCGTGTAGGTCTGGGAGGGGTGCTGAGGATGGGCAGGATGGGGAAGATGGGGAGAGCCGGGCTGTTGGTGCTGTTGGGGGTACGTGTGGGTGCGCTCGCGCGGGACGGGCGCCTGGTGCTGCAGGTTCGAGTGCGGCGTCGCCGACGCCGGCCGTGGCGGCGGGAGCTGGTCGACGGGGCCGGCAGGGCCACCAGGGTAGCCCTGCTGGGCGTGCTGCGGCGGCATCTGCATCGTCGCCGCTCCTCGAGGTTGCGCAGCCGCGCCGCCGCAGGCCACAGCAGCAGCGTGCTGCATCTGGTGCTGTTGCTGCAGGTGCTGCTGCTGCTGGACGTGCTGCTGCTGCTGCTGTTGATGCTGCTGCCGCTGCACGCTCGCGCGGTACTGGTCGATGAAGCGGTTGACGAGTTGCGACCCGCCGTGCGCCCGCACGAACGAGTCGCACGTCGTGAGGACCGACATCTCGCGGTTCCTGCGCGTCGTCGCGAGATCGTCGGTGAGGCTCTATCGAGCGGGGAGGAGGACATAAAAGAGAGAGGGGACGCACCTCAGGTCGCGGACCTGAGCGTCCATCTGGGCGTGCTGGTCGGGCGTGAGGGGCTGACCGGCACGGGGCCCGCCGCCCGGGTACGCGCCGCGCTTGAGGACGGCCTCGAGCTGGGCCGCGTTGTGCTGCAGCTGAGCCGCCTCGTCGAGTCGGGCAAGGTGCGCGTCGAGCCCGGCGGCGGTCGGGACGGGCGCCTGCTGCGGGAGCGGCGCGGCGGCGGCGTAGGACGGCTGAGGCTGAGGGGGAGGTGGAGGAGGTGCGGGCGAGGGTCGAGGCTGAGGGGGAGGATAGCCCTGGTGGGCGACGGGAGGAGGGCCGGTGGACGGGTTCGAGTTGAACCGGTGCGCGGTGGGCGACATGAGGGCGGGCGACGAGGCCGGGAGGGCGTGGAGCGCCGGCTGGACGAACGAGTTGCCGTACGCCGCCGCCGGCTGCGCATGGAGCATTTGCTGCTGCTGCTGCTGCTGGGGCGGCTGCGGCATGAGCGCGATCGAGGGTGGTCGAGACGGCGGGCGGTGCTGGAGCGGAGGAGGAGGAGGCGCAGCTGAAGGGTACGGCGAGCGAGATGGCGGCGGCGGCGGTGGGTGCTGCACCGGGTGCGGGTACCCGTTCTGCGGACCTTGGGCCATGCCCTGCGCGTACGCTCCTTGCGCGCCAGGCTGCGCGAGCCCGTATCCACCGCCTGCCCCGCCTGGCCCTCCTCCACCTCCCGCGCCGCCGCCGGCCGACGAGGGCGCACCGACCTGCGCCGCCGCCACGGGCTGGCCGCTAGCGGGTGCCGGCGCGTAGTACGACTGGGCGTGAGGCGGCTGGTGGTGGTACTGGCCGGCGTGGTGGTCGTTGTGGAGCGGCGGACCCGGGTGGAGAGGAGGCGCGCTCGCGCTAGTCGAGGCGACGGCGTTGGCGTTCGACGACGGCGGGTACGGAGCCGGGTGCTGGGCCGGGCCTGGCGGGTACACGGCGGCGTACGGCTGGCCTTGCTGCGCGGGCCACCCTTGCGCCGGCAGGTGCTGCATGCCCTCGAGGGAACGACGCCGCGACGATGAGGGACACGGCGGGTCGGGCGGGGTCGCGGGTGGGCGCACTCGGCGGCGAGAGAGCGCGATCGACGGCCCTGGAGCAGCAGGCAGCAAGGGCCCTCGTGCAGCGCAGTAGGAGGTCGAGGGTCGCTCGCTGGAGCGGGCGCCGGCACTTCGGATTGAGCCAGCGGAAGAGGCAAGACAACGCTAGCCTCGCACGGCGCGTCGTTCGACGGCCCGAGCCCTGCAGACACTCGAGCTTCGCAGACACTCTCAACCGGTCCCAGTCCCGTGCGCCGCGGCGAGAGGACGACGCCAGCGCTTCGACCTCTCGACCTTCTCAGCCTCAGCGACTCGCGCTCGCCTCGCTCACCTCGCCGTCCAACTCGCTCAGCAGGTCCACCAACCGACCTTGCACCCGTTCGACGAGCCGCTACGGCCCCCTCTCACAACGCGAGCGCCTCCTGGCCGTTCTTGTTCCCGTTGAGCATCTCGTGCCGAGGCGTGTAATTCGCGAGCCCCGGCCGCGCGCGCATCGTCGCCTCCCACGCCGCGAGGGTCGGGTACGCGTCGAGGATCGACGGCGCGAGCTTGCGCAGGGCGTGGACGAGGTACAGGAGGTGGAACTCGGCGAAGGAGGGCTGCGAGAAGGAGGGAGAGGGGGCGAGCGGTGGGACGGGGCGAGAGGGTCAGTGAGGGTGCTCCTTAGGCGAACCAGGCGTGAAAGAGAGCGTCGAGGGGGAGAGAGAGAAAGGGCGAGGGTCGATGGCGGTACGAGCGAGGAGAGGGAACGGTTCGAGAGAGAGGGTACGAGGCGCACCTGCTCGTACACGAGGTACCCTGCCTCGCTTTTGTTGGTCGCAAACAGGTACTCGAACTGCTTGAGGGCCTTGGGCGCCGTCGTCTTGACAAACTCGGCGAGGAGAGAGGGCTGCGAGCGCGCGAGAGCGGAAGGTCAGTGCGAGCTTCGTTCACGTGCGACTACCCTCGGCGTGCGGCGCAATCGCCTCGTCCGCCGGCTCGACGAGCTCGTGACGAGCCGCGCTCTCTCCGCCAAAGGAGGGACCCGCCGACAGACGCCGGCCGGTCGACGAGCGCGAGCGAGAGAGGGAGGGAAGGGGAGAGCTCACCGCGTCCTTGCCGTAGATGCACCTCGTGTACGCGCTGTTGAGGTCCTCGCACGCGTCCTGGAGCATATCGACGACCGCCTCCTGCCACACTGTCGCGCCCTCGCCGTACCGCGCAACCTTGGCGACGAACCGGAGGATGGCGCCCTGCTGCGCGAGGTGCACCACCACCTCAGGCTCGGCGCCCGAGTCGGCGTCGGCGCGCGTCACGCTCAGGCGCGGGAGCTGCTCGAAGCGGTACTGGGCGAGGTCGTGCTTGTTGGCGAAGAAGGCAGACGTGTCGTTCGACTCGGTGAAGGCGAGGCCGGCGTCGGTGAGGAGGAGGCGGATCGGCTCGCCGCGGCCCTGGATGGGGAAGTACTGGAGCGTGATGGACGACATGTCGAGCGGAGGCATGTGTGCTGGGCGGGTGCGAGAGGCGAGAGCGCGAGAGCGGGTGGAGGAGAGCGGGCGCTTTCTCGGACGGCGGGCAGCGGCGAGATCTCGAGAGCCCCGCTCGCCGGCTGCATACATCGAGGCAGCGGCGAGCGTCCGAGATGCAGCGCGGTCGAGGGAGCAAACGTGGAGCTGGCGAGGAGAGAAGACGGAGGCGCGGCTCGAGTCTGAGCCACGTCGACTCGCACGGACCCTTGGCGAGGTCGGCGCCCTCGCTCGTCACCCGCCTCGGCCCTCGCGTGCTCTCGATCTCCTCGGCGTCGACCGCTCGTTCTCTCGAAGCTTTGCCGACACTCGAGCAAAGAGTCGCAGGCGACGACAACGCACGAGCCCGCGCCGCGCAAGAACCCCTCTTGCTCTCGCTCTCGCGTCGAGAACGGCCGGGGCGCACAGGGAACCGAGTCGCGTTGCACAGGGGAGAGTAGAGAGAGAGAGGAAAGAACACCCATCGGCCGGGGCAACAAGTACAGGAGCGCGAGAGAGAAGGCGAGGCGGACCGAGGGAGAAAAGGGAGAGAGAGAGGACGACAAGGGAACGACCGAGGCAGGGAGGGAGGGTGCAACAAGGGGAGGGGGAAAAGTGGACGGGGAGAAGGGGCGACGACGACGCGGGGCGTCACGAGTAGTCGGGGAGCGAGTCGGCCTCGGGGTCGTCGTAGTCGGCGCGCGTCGAGAGCCTCAGGGACGGGTTGCTCTCGACGTACCCGGCGAGGGCGCGCGGGTCGTAGTTCGGCGGGGCGCTGCAAGGGCTCGGGCAAGCGGGTCAGTACCTCGTTTTGGAGCGTCAAGGAAAGAGAGAGAGATGGGGGAGGGAGACGCACCTGAGCAAGCCCGTCCCGAGGAGCCCGTTGCCCGCGCCCGCCGCGCGCCGCTGCTGCTCGGTGCGCTCGCCCGGTGCGAGCACGACCGCCGTCACCGTCGCCGTATTGCTGCGGCTCCTCCTCCCTCCCGCAGCGAGCCACCCGCTGAACCCGCCCTGAGGGCCCTCGCCCGCGCCGCCACCCGCACCGGCGCCGCGCTCGCGGTCGACCTCGAGCGCGAGGTCGACGTCGCTCGCGTTGCTGCTGTGGCCCGGGCTCGCGGGCGTGACGACGTGCATCGCCTGGCGGTTAAAGGCGCGCTTGACGAGCGACGACGAGGGGCGGCGCGCGGCGTTCCACGCCTCGAGGCCGACGACGGTGCTCGGGAGGAGCACGATCGGCCCGTCGTTGGTCTTGGTGAGGGTCGCGACGATGGCGAACGCCTGGTAGTGGTCGCGCAGCTTGGAGCCGAGGTTGCTGTGGGCGCGCAATCGCGAGAGAGTTGTCAGTCGGGGCGGCGCTAGCGGCGGCGTTCGGGGAGGGGGGTGGGGCTCACATGGCGCGGAGGTACAGCGTGAGGAGGTGCAGCTTGCGCAGCACGTACTTCTGGTTGCCGCCGTTGGTCCACTTGCTCTGCGCGAGGGCAGCTGGGCGTGTCAGCTCGTCGTGGCCGCGAGCGGGGGATAGCGAGAGGGCGGGGCCCGAAGAGAGAAAGGGGGGACGCACAAAGGCGTACGCCTGCAGGACCTCCTCGGTCTCTTCTGCCGAGTCGCACCGCGCAAACAGGTGCCCGACCTTTTGCTGGCTGAGGCCCATCGTGGCGCGGGGAGCGAGAGCGAGAGGAAAGTGGGCGGCGGCGGCGGCGGCGGCCTCGGTGGTGACGACGCGCGCGCGACCGATGAGCGCGTGGGCCGGGCGGTGCGGCGTGTCGGAGCTCGGTGGGCAGCTGTCGCGCAGGCTCAGGAGCGACCAGCGCGGGAGGAGAGCGAGGGCGGGCGCGAGGCGAGTGTGGGTCTGCCGCCTTCCGAGGTTCGAGGCGAGGTCCGAGAGGCATCGAAGTCTCGGCTTTCTCGAGCGCAGGCAATCCCTTCGACGAGCTCGCAGAGCACGCTCCGAGTACTACCAAGAGCGAAATATCCTCGAACGAAAGAATGCAGATCTCGCCGGGCTCGCGACAAAGCGGACAACCGACTTGCGCGCTCTCCCATCCCTGCAGGCGCCCGAAGCGCGCTCCTTCTCGCCTTGCGCGAGATCGTTCGCACAAGGAGCTCATCGTTGTGCGGCGTTGCATGCTGAAGCGCCACTGAGGCAAAACTCGCTCGCGGTGTGCGAGGGCGAGGGCGAGAGGCGCGAGGCGCCCGGACCTCCGAGACGCAGGCGACGAGGTCGACAAGTCGCCGAGCGGGAAGTGGATTGTGCGCTGTCGACCTGTGCAGGAAGGCTGCGAGGCGGGCGACCGTCAGTCTAGGGCAATCGTTCGTGCGCCTCGCGAGACCGAGGAAGAGAAAGGGCGACGAGGAGCGACGCACCTCGACAGGCTCGTCGAGTGGCCCTCGCGCCTCGCCGCGCCTTCTGTCTCGGCTCTTCGTGTCGGGCGTAAAAGCTCGAGAAGCGAACACGCCGCCTCGGTCGAACGAGAGAGCAGGAGCGCTTGAACGAGGAGCGAGCGAGAGCGAGGAACGAGGTCGAGCAGGGGGCGGCGCAGCAGGGTGCGCGCCCGCTCGTCTCCTCGTCGAGCATGTCGTTCGGACCCCCGAGGGCGGGCTGGATCGTCTTGAGCGCATTCGGTGGCCGTGTAGAGGCCGCCGTGCGGGCGAACGAGGGCCAGCTCGAGGTGGACGGGGTGTGGAGTGCACGACGGCAGCAAATACGAGGCGCGGGTCTGCCGCCAATCGAGTGGGCGAGTGGCGGGCAGTGCGGTGCGAGGGTGGCGCAGCTGAGCGAGTGGCGGCGGTGGTCGGCTGGTGGTGAAGGAGAGAGGGGAGGCGACGGTGGAGAAGAGCGAGGCGGCGTGCGGCAGGGTCAAGCGAGGGTGTGGCGGGTCACTGCGGGCTGTCTGTGCAGGTTGCAGCGAGGCAGAAGGTGCTCGAGAGGGTGAGAGACGAGCCGACGAAGCGTCATCATCCGGCTGCCGACAGTTCGCTCGGGTTCTTACCCGCCGCCTCTTCGCCTCTCGCTCCTGCCACACACACTCGAGCAACCCGCACAACATGGCCGCATTCGCTCGCGCCCTGCCACAGCTCGCGACCCACGCAGCCCGCCCCACCTTCACCCCAGCCGCGATCCGGCTCGCCGCCCGTCCCCTCCTCCTCCTCCTCACGACGGGCCGCCTCTGCTGGACCTCGGACCGCTGGGGCCCCCACCGACCACACGGGACCAAGGCCCAAAACGCTCGTGATGCCTCAACTCGAATGACGACGTGGGGAGGCGCGATTTCAAAGGGGCGGAGGCGAGAAAGCGAGGGCTGGCGACATCGCGCGCTCTGGCCTAGCACGGCGGCGCCGACTCCAAGCAGAAGGTCGACTGGGGCAAGGTCGGCGTCAATGTCGGCGTCGGCGTCGCGGGCGCCATCGGGCTCAACTTGATCCTCAACCGCGAGACGTCGCCCCTCCAGGCCCACGAGTGGGTGCGTCGGCTCGTTTCCCTCACGTCCTCTCGTCGAGCGCATGTGCTCCTTTGTTCCTGGATGGAGCTCATGGACTCTAGGGGTAGTATACAACAGCTGACTCACGAATTCCCCGCCTGCAGGAGTACCTCCGCTCGACGTTCAAGTACACCGGCCTCGGACTCGCCATCACGGCCGGCGCGGCCACGCTCGCGTTCAAGAACGGCCTCACGTACCGCATAATGGCGCTTAACCCATGGCTAGTGATGGGCGGCTCGTTGGTCCTGTCGATCGGCTCGATGTACGGCGTGTACGCGACCGCGCCCGACTCGCCGGCCCACTACCTCTCGTGGGGCATCTTTTCCGCCGCACAGGGCCTCACGCTCTCGCCCATGTTCTTCATCGCGCCTGCGATCCTCGGGCGCGCGGGTCTGTACACGCTCGGCGCGACGGCGGGCATCGCCTACGTCGGGTCGACGGCCAAGTCGGACGAGTACCTGTGGATGGGTGGGCCCCTCCTCGCGGGCCTCGGCGTCCTGATCGCGTCGAGCCTCGCGCCCATGATCATGCCCAACATGGCCCTCAGGACGCTCACCGTCCTCGAGAGCGTCGGCGCGTACGGTGGCGTCGCCGTCTTCTCGGGCATGCTCCTCTTCCGCACGAACCAGGTGCGCCCCGTCCTGTCTCTTCTCTCTCGTACCCTCTCGTTGTCATCGAGCTCAGTCAGCTGACCTACTCTTGCCCACGCCGCCCTTCATCCTTCCTTCCCTCCTCGCCGTCCTCCCTCGTCCCGTCGTCTCTCCTCCTCCCCCGTCTCTCCTCACGTTGAACCCTCCTCTCTCCACCCTCGGCCCTCGTACCTCCTTTGACCGACCCGCACAGATCAAGGGCCACGCCAACCTCGCTCAGCGCGGCGCCATCCCGAATGACCCGATCCGCGAGTCGGTCGGGCTCATCCTCAGCGTCATCAACCTGTTCACGTCCATCGTCCGGTACGTCCCTCGCGTCTCTCTCTCTCTCTCTCTCTCTCTCTCTCTCACTCTCTATCGTCAAGAAGGCACACGATGACTGACTCGTGGCGTCGTCCCGCAGCGTCATGCTCCTCCAGCAGGGCAACCGCCGTCGCTGAGCGGCACCTGCGCAACTTTGGAGGAGGGTCGCCCTGTAGCTTGTTGATATCACCCGCACACATCTCTCTGGACTGGAATCGTCGGTTCCTGTAGCTTGACCATCGAGAGCTTTGCGCGAGAGCGGGAGAGTCCAACGGAGGCACGTGCCGCGCGTAAGCCCTTGCTCCTCCTCGCCCCGCCGTCTCCCGCCAGACCGCCCGAGAGCAGCACCGGCAGCTGCTCAGCCGCTCGCGAGCAGCTCTTCTGCTCGACTACACGCCCGCGCGGCCGCTGCCCGCCTCTCATCGCCTCCAGCTCCGCCTCATCGTTCGATTCGCCGCGACCCGCTCGAGCACCTCGGCACCGTCGCCAGGACACAAGAGCAGCGCGAGAGCTCGCCAGAAGCTTCACGACACGCACCGGTGCGCGCGCAGTCCTCGCCACGATCGAGCGGGTCGCCCTCGACCCCCCCTCTCGAGCCGGCACCGCTCGCTCGTTGTCGTCGAACCGGCGCGCCCTGACACGCTTTGCCTGGCCCCGCAGCACTCGATCCGCATGCGCTACGCCGACGCAGAGCACCCGAATCCTCCCTCGAGCTCGTCAGCCATGCCCTCCCCCCCTCCTCCTCCACGCCCGACCACCGCGCCGCCCGAGTCGTACGCCGTCATCGGCGGCGAAGGTTTCGTCGGCGGCGCCCTCGTCTCGGCGCTCCTCGGCCTCCACGGGCCCTCGCGCGTCGCCTCTCTCGGCCCAACGCAGCGGCGCCACTCGCCCTCGACCTACCGCTTCTTCCACACCGACATCACGTCGCCGTCGAGCATCGCGCGCGCGCTGCGCGACTCGGGCGCGACGACCGTGTTTCACACGGCGAGCCCGCACGCCCAGGCGACGAGCGCCGTGTGGCGCGCCGTCAACGTCGACGGGACGCGGTGCGTCGTCGAGGCGTGCCGCGCCGCGCCGGGCGTCACAAAGCTCGTCTTGACGAGCTCGATGACGGTCGTGTACGAGCGAGGGGTCGCACTGAGGAATGTCGACGAGCGCATGCCGGGCATCGAGGGCGACGAGGAGGTGGCGACGTACGCGGGCACCAAGGTGCGCCTTTCTCTCTCTCGCTCTCTCTCTCTTTTTCCTGCCGCCTAACTGACTCGGTCCTCGTCGTACCGCAGGCCAAGGCCGAGCAACTCGTGCTCGAGGCCAACGGCAAGGACGGCCTGTTGACGTGCGCGCTACGACTCGGCGGCATCATCGGGTGCGTCCCTCTCTCTCTCTCTCTTTCCTCCTCGAGGCTCGGACCTGACCCTCGCTCGCTCACCTCCCTGCAGGCCCGGCGACCGACAAGTGCTCCCCGGGTGGATCAACGTCTACAAGGCGGGCCAGCACGTGTTCCAGATGGGCGACAACCTGCACCTGTTCGACTTTGTCACGCTCAAGAACGTCGTGCACGCGCACCTGCTCGCCGCCGACAAGCTCGGCGCGCCACCGCTCGACCCTGCGCAGCTCGAGACGCGCCTGCCGCCCGTCGCGGCGACCGTCGGCCGGCGACAGCTCCCGACGTCGCGCCACCCGGACGCCGTCGACCCGCTCGACCCGCCCGAGTACGACGAGCCGCCGCTGCCCGCGGCGCGCAACCGGTGGAACCAGTTCTACGCCCCGTCGTGCGTCTCGCCCGAGGAGGGGCTGCTGTCGGTCGCCGGGCAGGCGCTCACGATCACCAACGGCGAGCCCGTGCCCTTGTGGTCGCTCGGGCGCGCCATCTGGCACGCGTACGACCCGGCACAGCGGTACCGGTCGTGGCTCCCGCTCGTCTTTCCCGGCGCGGTCGGCATGCTGTACGCCGCTGGGTGCGAGTGGGTCGGGTGGGCGAGGGGCAAGCGGCCCGAGGAGTGCGGCGTCAACCGGGCCTACATGGCCTACGTCCTCGACGACATGTACTTTGACATTGAGCGGGTGCGTCTCCCTTTTCTCTCCCTCTCTCTCTCTCTTGGGCTGCAGCGGGGACTGACTCGCGGACCGCACACAGGCACGGCGACTGCTCGGGTACGAGCCGGTCGAGAGCCTCGAGGAGGGCATCCGCTCGGGCGTCGAGGTCCGTCTCTCGTCCGCTCGCCTCTCTCTCTCTCTCGTCCGTCTGCGGCCCCTCACTGACTCTCGCATTCGCCTCGCTCGCAGTGGTACAAGGCGGACGAGGAGCGGCAGAGGGAGCAGAGCCGGAACAAGGCCCGGCAATGAAGTGCAGTGCCTCTCGCGAGCGTTATCGTCGGGCGCGCTCATTTCGCCCAGTTCGCTCGCTCGCCGGTCCGTCGGCCGTCCGTCGAGAGCTCCTCTGTCGCGGCGAGCAAGGTGTGCCCCTGCGCACCGAGAGAAGCTTGCCCCTGTACGTGTGCACGTGCGAGCGACGAGGGGAAAGGCGGGCGGACCTGGGGAGGTGACGCCCGTCACCGATAGGAGAACCGCGAAGATGCGGAGGGCGACGCTAGTCCGGCCGAGGGGCGACCGCTCTCACCTCGGGCTCGTCCTCCTCTCGGCGCTCTCTCTCCCTCTCTCGCCCCCCCGAGTTGCGCCCATGGCCGCCATCGTCGCCCTGAACGCGGCTGTCGCCCTCCTGCGCAGCAACGAGGGCCTGCGCGACCTGCGCAGCCCTGTGATCCCGCTCCCGGACGACCACCACGACCGGCCTCGGCGGTCGGCCTCGCTCTCGTCGACGTCGCGCTCGACCCGCTTCGCGCGCCAGCACTCGCGGTCCCGCCCGGCACCGCTCACCGAGCGCAGCCTGCGCGCGAGCCACCTCTCGTGGCTGATCCGGCTGCGCGACCTCAAGGCGCGGCTCACGGCGCTCGACGACTGCCGCGCCAAGCGCCTCGAGTCGTGCTGGGCGGGCAAGGCGACGAGGCGCCACATCCGCGCCGTGCGCAAGGCCGTCGACGAGGCAGAGTGGGTCGAGGACAAGCTGCGTCAGGCCGTCGTGTGGTGCCGCGGGGCGGGAGTGCGCAAGGCGCCCGTCACGTCGCTCCTCTCGGTCGGCCGCAACGGGTCCGTCCACTCTCTCTCTCGTTCTCCTTGTCTCCCGGCTGGACCCGAACTGACTCGGCGCCGCTGCCCTCCACCCGCTCTCCCCATCTCCCCCTCGCTACCGCACCTCGTCAGCCTCTCGGCCCGGCCCAAGCACAACGCCTTCCCTCCCACCCTCCTCGAGCTCCCCTTCCCACTCCCGCACGCCCTCGAGGCCAACATCTACTTCCTCACCGTCCCTCGCCCGCCGCCGCTCGCCCGCCACGACGCGTGGGACGCCGAGCGCGCCGCGCAGAGCCACGAGGCGCCGCCCCGGTACGACGAGGAGCTCGCCGTCGGCGAGACGGTCCTCGAGCGCGGGGGCGACCTCGATGTCGCGGTCGCGCTCCTCGAGTACGAGCGCGCGAGCCATGCGCACGACGTCGTCGACGTGTCGAGCACCCGGGCGACCGACTAGAGCGTGCTCTCGCTCCCCTTCCCCTTTACACCATAGACGTCCACCTCTTTCACGCCCGCGCTGGTTCGCTCTACCCCTCGCCCCTTTGTCGTCGTCTCCCCCAAACCCTCTCGACTCGGCGCAGTCGCTCTCTCTCTCTTGACGTACCAAATGATTCTGAAACTCATGTAGCGATAGGTATTGCACGAGCGAGAGAGAGTGTGTGTGTGAGAGAGAGGGAGGGAGCGGCGAGAGGGCAAGAAATGAGATCTAGTTGCGAGAGCATGTTGTGCGACGAGGTGCGCCTAGAAAGCGTTGTGCCTGCCGCCCTTCTCGGCGTCGACACTGCCCGGCTGCTCGTCGAACTGGACCCGGTACGGCGGGCTCGGCGTCGCAAACTGGGCCGTCGCCGGGAACCGCATCGAGCCCTGGGCCGCACCGGCGCCGGCGCCCTTGCGGCTCGCGAGCGACACGTCGTCGTCCTCGGCGTCGATGTTGACCTCCTGCCGGACCGTGACGTGCACGGGCTGTTGATGGGCAACGGTACCGGCGGCGCTCAGGCCGCCGAAGCCTTTGCGCGACTGGGACGACTCGTCGAACGCGCCCGAGCCGTGTGGGCTGCGCGCGTTGAGCGTCGCGAGGAACGAGCCGATGTCTGTGGACGAGGGCGGGGGCGGGGCGAGAGTCAGGGAGTGTGCTCGAGGAGGAGAGGGGGAGATGGCGGTCGAGGAGGAGCGGGATTGAGTGCGCGCAGAGAGACGAGGACGCACAGATCTTGGCCTCGGGCAGGCCGAAGAACGTGTAGTACGTTGAAGTTGGCCACGTTGCGTACAGGAACACGATCGCGATCTGGCAGACGGCCGACAGGAGGTTCGTCTGGGCGGCCATGAGGACGACCTTCTTGAGCGGCCTGTGGGTGCGAGAGCGTCAGTGTCCCTCGTCAGGTCTCTTCATTAGACGAGAGAATAGAGAGGGCGCACGTGCTCGTCTTGACGGCGCCGCCTGACTGCTTCTTGGGCTTGAACACGAGCCACCAGAACATGAGGACCGTGGTGGCGAGGTCGACGACGAGGACGCCAGCGAACCAGCCCCACGACTGGGTGCGGATGTCGGCGAACGCGAGGATGTTGTCCGAGTTCTGCGAGCACACGTAGCCCATCCCTGTCGAGCGGGAAGAAGGTCGGGTCAGGGTGTGCTCGACCTCGACGACTCGAGAGGTGGGCGACGCACAAAGAGCGATGCCGTAGCAGCCGAACGAGATGGCGCCGAGGAGGGCGACCGGAATCCAGTTGCGGTTCGAGACGGCGTAGACTGCGAGAGGGCGAGAGGGGGTCAGTGCGCTTCTCCTCGAACCTCGGCGGCGACGAGCGAGTGAGAGCGGGACGCACGTCTGTACAGGTAGAAGCACTGGACGGCGAGCACCGCAGTCGACATGACGAAGCAGTAGGCCGTGAGCTCGAACGGGAGCAGCGCGAGGTCTTGCGGACGAACAAAGTAGGTCACGCCCCACTGCGAAGAGGAACGAGGTGGTCAGCGCCGCTCGCCTCGCCCCGACGGCGCTCCAGGGTCCAGAGAACGCTCGCGAGACGCACCTTGTACGCCCACGACGCGTTGAACGCCGTGTCGACGAGGGCCAACGCCGTTCCGAGCGCGGCGCCGACTTGGATCCACGCCGGGTCGCGCGAGAAGCGCGCGTAGTACCGCCCGTACAGGCTGACGACGATGCCGCACGAGAAGCACGACAGGCAGGTCGCGACGATCTGTGGGCGAGGGGCGAGGGGCGAGGGGCGAGGTCGAGGTCGAAGTCGAGGAGGGGACGAAAGGAGATCGGTTCAGTCCCGATCGACAAGAGGGAGAGAGAGGGGGGCGCACGACGGCTCCGACGGTGCTGACGATGGCCGACGACATGCTCGAGCGGCGCAGAGCTGGAGGACAGAAGCGAGCGCGCGAGCCAGCTGCGGCGAGAAGCCGTCGACCGCGAGGCACGGCGCGGGCGAGCTCGAAGCGGTGCGACAAGCGCGGTCGAGATGTCGCCGAGGGCTGCGAGGGCTGACACGGGCAGCAGCCGACGCGGGGCGGACAGGGGGCGCGGACGCGAGGCCGACGCCTCGAGCGAGCGGAGACGCCGAGCCTCCGTCCGTTCGTCCTCGCGGACACGTCACTAACGAGCGCGACGCTCAGCGAGTGAGGTCGGCTCGACGAGAGCAGGAGTGGGAGCGAGAACCGCAGAAAGAGGAGAAAGCGAGAGAACAGGAGCGGTAGTCGTGAGGACGGGCCTCGACGACTCGCTCTCGCAGCGGCCCGAGCACGTGCGAGGGGCAGGCAAATGTACACGGCACTGATTGGGCACTGCTCGTCGCACTATCATGCACGAGGAGAGAGTCAGTGAGGGACGGCCCCACGAGAGAGGTCCTGGCGAGGAAGGAGAGAGGCTCGAGCGCACCTTGATCCGCCCCGTCCCTCACTTCTTCCACGCCTTGAACCGCAGCCGCACGTACATGACCGTCCACGTTCCCTCTCCCTCGCCTTGCGCCTTCATGTCGACCTCGAGGCGGCGGCACACCTCGTCGATGACGGCCTCGCGGTCGGCGGGCGAGGGGAGCGCGTCGAGGAAGGCAAACGCGAACGTCTCGAGCCAGCCGCGCAGGCCTGTCGGGAGCGCCGTCGGGCGAGGGACGAGCTCTGGCGATGGGGCGACGACGAGTAGACTGGGTCAGGTTCGTCGTGGCGGCGCAGAGAGGGTGAAAGGAGGACGCACCGCAGGTCTCGACCTTGAAGCCCTCCTTCTCGAGGATGGCGCTGTACGTCTCGGGCGTTGGGAAGAACCACGGGTCGACCTTGCTCGCGTCGATGCCGCGCTCGCCGAGCACGACGTGGAGCGTCGAACGCACGCCGACCATGTTGAGCGCGCCGCCAAACTGGAGGAAGGGTGGGGAAGCAGCACGTCAGGTTTTGACTCGATGCGGCTGCGTCAAGGCTGTGAGAGGTGGACGCACCTCGCCGACGAAGCGCCCACCGGGCTTGAGGAGGCCGTGCACGCCGCGAACGACCTTGGCCGGGTCGCGCTTCATCCAGTGCAGTGCCGCGTTGGAGAAGACGGCGTCGTACCGGCCGTCCTGCTGCAGGCCCTCAAGCTCGTGCCCGTCGCGCAGGACCCAGGTGATGGCAGCGGCGGCGGCCGGCGACGACAGGGCGGCGGCGTTGGCCTCGGCGCGGGCGAGCAGGTCGGGCGAAGCGTCGAGGCCGACGACGGAGCCACCGGGGAGGACGGGCGGCAGGACCGACTCGAGCGTGAGCTCGCCCGAGCCGCAGCCGAGGTCGAGGATGTGCTCCTGCGGGGTGTGGACAGCCGAGGGTCAGCTTCGGGCGACAAGTGGGGGCGGGACGAGGAGGAGATGGAGGACGGGGAGACGCACGCCGGGCTGAGGGCTGAGGAGGGCGATGGCCTTGTTGGTGAAGGCGGCCGAGTAGACAAAGCTGGCGTTGCTGCTGTAGCGCTCGGCGCTCCAGTTGTCGGTCCTCGTCGAGGCTGACATCGCTCGAGGCGGGAGCCTGAGGGCGAGGGCGAAGACGAGGAAAGCGGCGAGAGGGAGGGCGACAGCGAGGTCGCAGCAATTCCGTGGAGCAGCTCAGGTGCGAGGCAGCAGGGGACTCGGCTAGCCCGGCACGACGCGGCGAGGCAAGAGCAAGTCGGAAGCTGAGGCAGGCGCCCGAGGCGAGAGTCTCTCCGCTCGCTAAGTCCGCGACGACGCAAAAAAGGCACTGAAGCACGGCCTGATGATACAGTCAACAGCACAGACAAGACTACAGACCGCCCCGCCGACGCTCGGCCCCACCGCTCACTCGAGTGCCGCCGCGTCGAGCGCAACCTGGCGCGCCTCGTCGGCCGCCGTAGCGAGCCTGGGCACCTCCTGCAAGACGGCCAAGAGACGCGTGAGCTCTCGTTTGAGCAACGAGATGTGACGGCGAGGGAGAGAGAACGCACCTCGAGCAGCCGGTCGAGCGTTTGCCGCCCCTCCTCGAAGTACTGCTGCGCCTGGGCCGGCGTCGGCGCCTCCTGCGGGGCTGCGAGCGTCGCAAGACGTCAATACGGGGAGCCCGAGACATCAAGGGCGAGAGTGAAAGAGGCGACGCACCGGCTGCGACGCCGAGGCTCTTGCGCGGGCGCACTTTGGGGAGGGAGAGCTCGTCGGGGACGGGTGCGCGCGCGTCTTCGAGCTTGCCGAGGTACTCCTTGTCGAGCTCGACGACGCCTTGGACGTACTGTAGGAGGACGAAGGTGCCGTCAGTCACGTCGGCCGACCGACAAGAGGGGGCGAGGAGGGGGGGGACGCGCCTCGGCCGTTCGCGACGGAGCGTCGACCCGCTCACGGGCGTTGACCTCGCGTGCGTCGAACAGGTCGTTCTGGTACTTGAGCACACGCTGGTGCAGCTCGTCGTTGAACGGCTGCGTCTTGCCGAGCTCTGCGTGCGAGAGGCGCAAGGTCAGGTCGAGGCGACGAGTGAGGGCTGCGAGAGGGGACGGGCGGGGACGCACCGCCGCGCTTCTTCTTGCGCTCGTACTCGGCGACGGGGAGGCCGGCAATGGTGCAGTTCGACGAGATGATCGACTCGACCTTGCGGTAGAATTGCTGCGACGAGGGGGAGGGAGGGGGAGAGGGGCGAGGTCAGCGCTCGAGTCGGCAACGACCCTGCCGCGCGATGGGGCGCAACGCGCACAGGTGGCCCTGACACTCGAGATGAAGGTCCTGAGGCCGCCTGCAGGGCTCCACGAGGCCGTGACGGCGAGAGCGCTCATCATCGAACGAGGGGGAGGGGGGCTCACCTTCATGACGAGCTCCTCGACGCGCTGCTTGTCCTGGGCGGTCATCTGCCCCTGCGCAGCCTTGCCCTTGCCCTTGCCCTTGCCGCCCGCGCTCGCCCCGCACCGCTCGTCGACCCGCCGCACGAGGTCGGCCCTCCATCGCTCGAGGACGGCGCGCAGCTCGTCCTCGGTGTCGAACGCGAGCGGCGGGATCTCCTCCTCGGTGTCGTCGATGGTGCGCAGGGCGGCGGGGGCAGATGTGCTGGCCTGGGCGGGCATGGCGGGTGCGTGACGAGGCCGGTTGTTGTTGTTGGTGCGAGGAGGGGAGGCGCGTCTGGACGCGAAGCCGACTCTCGAGCGGGGCGAGCGGCAGCGACGACGACAGGCTTGGCTCGACAGATGGCTCTCTAGAACAGGCTCCAGGCTGCTCTCGCTCCGCGCGACCCGAGCCCCGCCAGGTTCGCGCTCCTCAACCTCTCGCTCTCTCGGCACGGCTCGCGAGGCAAGGTGGAGATGGTCCGATAGAACAATGCAGCGTGCGACTATAGAACGACCGATGGGAGAGACAGAGAGAGAACCAGTACAACCCGGAAGAGAGAGAGAGACAGCGAGGTGCGCTCCGACCGCCTCTTCCTCCTAGACGCGCTCCTTGACGTCCTCGACCTCCTCGATGCTCGAGCCCGCCTGCGGCTTGAGGTACGACGGCCCACGCTCGGCGCCGAGCTCGTGCTCGCGCTGGAGCTCGGCCATGACGATCTGGTTGGCGCGCCACACGTTCTTCTGGGCAAAGAGGCGGTCCATCTCCTCGAGCGGGATGTTGCGCGTCTCGGGGAGGAGGAGGCAGATGTAGGGGATCGACGCGAGCTGCATGAGCTGTGGGTGCATGTCTTTCGAGTTAGTGAGAGGGCTCGAGGGGAAGGAGAGAGAGAGAGCGAGAGGACGCACGCAGAAGAAGAGGTAGACGCCCCAGCCGCCGGCGCCCATGCGCAGGAACATGGTCGGCGTCGCGCGCGAGATGACAAAGTTCCCTGTGGAAGGAGACACGAGTCAGTCGGAGGTCTCTTGAGAGAGAGAGAGAGGGAGCGAGACGCACAAAGCCAGTTCGAGGTGGCAGCGAGGCACTGAGTGACCTGGCGGACCGTACCCGGGAACGACTCCGAGTTGACGACCCACGGCGTTCCGTTCCACGATGCAGCGTAGAAGGCCGTCCACAGGTAGAAGAAGAACATGGCCGCCTTGCCAGCGGCGGGCAGGTCGGTCGTCGGGTTCAGCTGCGGCTTGTCGACGTTGATGTAGATGGCGATGGCGAGCATCGACAGGGCACCGCCGAGCGAGCCGATGAGGAGCTGTACGAGAGGAGCGTCAGGTCCGGGTCGAGAAGGTCGAGAAAGAGGGAGACGAGCAGGGGACGCACGATGTTGCGGCGGCCGTATCGGTCGATGATGAAGAAGCACCAGACGAGGGCGAGCACCGTCTTGATGACACCAAACACGCCAGTCGTCAGGAGCGACGTCGAGGTGCCCGTGACGCCGATCGACTTGAAAATGGTCGGCGAGCTGTGGAAGGACAGGGGTCAGGTTCCTGCGGCCTCGAGGACGCTCTGAGAGGGGTCGAGGGAGGGACGCACTAGTAGTTGATCGCGTTGATGCCCGTGCCGTTCTGCCAGATGAACAAGGAGGATACCACTAGCATGCGGCGGAACAAGTGGCCCGTCGAGAACAGGTGGCGGATCGGCGCCCAGAAGCCAGTACCGACGGCCGTGCGGTCGTGCTCGGCCTGGATGTCGATCTCGTTGATCTCGTTGATGATGTACGGGTCCTCGGGCGACAGGTTGCGGATGAAGCACAGGTTCTTGACGGCCGCGTCGCGCTTGCCGCGCTGCATGAGCCAGCGAGGCGACTCGCGGACGAAGAAGGGGATGCCGAGGGCGAACAGGCCGCCAGGGATGAGCTGGACGGCGAAAGGCTGTAGGCGAGGCCGAGGGAGGTCGAAAGGGGGGACGAGGAGGAGAGGGGGAGAAGGTCAGCGCTCGGGCCCTCGGAACGAGCCGGCCGACGCAAAGAGAGAGAGGGACGCACAGTGAGCCACTGCGTGGTGCCGGGCGCGATGTGCTTGGTGACGCCGTAGTTGATCCAGAAGCCGACGAGGCCACCGACTGCGAGAGGAGAGGAGAGGAAGGTCAGTCACGGTCTGCGCGCACGAGGGTCGGGAGAGCAAGGGACGCACTCTGCCAGCCGATCTCGTACATGCCGACGAGCTGACCGCGAATGGCGGGAGGCGAGATCTCCGAGATGTAGAGCGGCGTGAGGTTCGAGGCGGCGCCGCTGTGAGGTAGGAGGGAGAGAGGGTCAGGGCTCGCGCTCGACTCGACTCAAGACAGGACGCCGGGACGCACATTCCGAGACCGGCGACGATGCGGCCACCGTAGATGGGGCCAAGGCCGCGAGCGCCGTCGGCGGCGAGCATGACGCCGGCGCCGAGGCAGAAGACAAGGGACGAGAAGAGGAGGCCCATCTTGCGGCCGAGGAGCTGACCGATCGGGTAACCCAGGAGGGAGCCGAAGAAGCAGCCGCCCTGGTACGTCGAGACGATGTTGGAGCTGATGGCAGCAAACTCCTTGGGCGTCTTGGTGAGGAGGCCAAACTCCTTCTTGAAGGACGGGAGCGCGATCGACGTGCCGATGAAGGCCGAGTCGTAGCTGTGGGAGAGAGCGCATGTCAGTAGGTGTGCGCCACAGGATCAAGCGAGAGATCGCGAGCGAGTCAAGTCGCCGCGAGGAGGGGAGAGGAGAGGAGGGAGAGGACGGACCCGATCATGATGGCGGCCGTCGCGGCGACGATGGCGCACGAGTACACGCGCCAGTTGTAGACCGCCTGGGGCGTCGGGCGGTCTTCGACGCGCTCAAAGAGCTTGACCATCGTGCGAGGTGAGGCGGCGGAGGCGGAGGTTGGTCGAAAGAGAGAGAGAGAGAGAGGGCAGGCGAGCTGAGGCGGGCGCGAGGGCTCGAGGCGGGTGCGGGTGCAGGGGCCGAGGGTGTGCGGAGCGCTGGAGAGAGTGCAGAGAGTGGTGCAGGAGAAGGAGAAAGAGTGAGGGAGAGCGGGGCCACCGAGATTTCGAGTGGGCGAAGGCCTCGAAGTCGGCCGCGCGCTGAGTGCCCCACGCTCAAAAGTGGAGGGGGCTCGTGGGCGTGCCTGAACTCCCGGAAGAAATCGAAGCGCGGCACTGAGAGCGCCTTTCATTCTCCCGGCGCTGCGCAGTCAGCAGTTTTGCGTTTCGTCGCACAGGCCCCGCGCAAGTGCTCATGAGCGGACCTTCTCAAGTCGCCGTCCTCGCTCGAGAGCTGCTCTTTCCGCTCGCTTTGACTCGCAAGCTGGTGCACCGCGGGTCTCCAGCAGCCGAGTACGAGCACCTTGGAGATGCGGGGCAGCGCGCGCGAGAAATCTCTCCGCCGGCACCTCTGGCGGCGGCGCTGAACTTGTTCCCGCACCGACCCTCTCTCACACTTCGCGTCCTTCTTTCTCCCTGCGCCGCTCGCCCAAAAACGGCCTCACTCGACCCGGTGATTGCGAGCAGAGCGTGGGCGGGCTCTGGCGCTCCACCTCTCGTGCTCTCGAATCGGTGCAACGGCCCCGGCGAACAGAAAGCGGCTCGCGCTGCAGCGATTTATCGGCTTCGTGGCAAATTGAGCAGGGCGGCGGCATCGGCATTCGACGAACGACATCGCACGGAGCGAGCGACAAAAGGCGACGCGGTAGACATTGCAGGAGACGGGAGATTCTGGTGAGGCGAGAGGTCGAAGCGAGGGCTTCTCGCTTCGTCTCGACGGTGTGTCTGCAGCTAGAGCGTGACAAGCCGCAGGCGAGGCTGCACTGTGAAGACGAGCACAGCCGAGCTAACTTGGCGCGGCAGCCGTGACAGCAGCAGCCGGTGTGCGCGCGAGCAAAGCCGACACCAATCTGCGCTCAGGCCGCCGGCCTCCTCGCACTTCGAACGGGCTGCGCCGCTGCGGCGGGGCGCCTCTGCAACTTCGCTGTGCTCGACGGGTTCGATCGTGCGAGTGTCGGAGCGAGCGAGCGCCGGAAAGAGGGTCCGAGCGAACCGGGCGAGAGGCGAACAGCTGAGTCGGCGGTGAAAGTTGATCCGGCGCGAGCAGCAGCTGACGCGAGCGGACGTCGGCTCGCCGCTGCTCTGAGCTCTCTACTGCTAGAGCCACCGAGGCCAGGCATGTAGCAGCAGCCTCTCTGCGCCCAGCCTCTCAGCACAACGCAAGTCCGGCTCGCTCCCTGCGCCTCCTCCCCCCTCCGACCTCGTCCCTCGTCCTCGGTCGACGCTCATCACCCAGCCAGCCCGCACACCCGCCCGCCACCAGCCAGCATGTCGGACTACTCGGGTTCCGCGCCCAACTCGCTCCCGTCGACCCCGCCTGCGCTCGCCGCACACGACGCGCTCGCCATGCCGCACCCGCCCCGGCTCCCTCCACTCGGCATCGCCTCGCTCTCGCTCGGGTCGTGCGACCACCACCCGCTCGCGCGCAAGGTCGCTGCAGCCGCCGAGCACGGCTTCACCTCGATCGAGCTGTTCGACCTCGACTGGCAGCACTTCCGCGACGCGCACGCCCGCGAGCACGGGTTCGACACGCCCTGCGTCGAGGGCGACGAGGCGAGCATCTCGGCCGCGCACGCCCTGGCGGCGATCCTGCACCGCCACGGCGTCGAGGTGAGCTGCTGGCAGCCGCTGCGCAACTTTGAGGGCTGGGTCGACGACGACGACCGGCGCGAGGCGCGCGATTACGCCCGCGGCATCCTCGACATCATGCCCATCCTCGGCACCGACCTCCTCCTGTGCTGCACGACGTCGACGCCCGCCCCGAGGACGTCGTCAAGCCTCGACCGCGCCGTCGAGGACCTGCGGTGGCTCGCCGACCTCGCCGCGACCTACTCGCCGCCGATCCGCGTCATGTACGAGGGCCTGTCGTTCGGCGCGCACCGCCAGAGCTGGCAAGACGCGTACGAGGTCGTCGAGGCCGCCGACCGCCCCAACCTGGGCCTGTGCCTCGACTCGTTCAACACGCTCGCGCTCGAGTGGGCCGACCCGTACGCCGTCGACGGTCGCCTCGGCCCGGACGTTGACGCCAAGCTCGAGCGCAACATGGACGAGCTCGTGCGCCGTGTGCCCGGGAGCAAGGTGCGCCCCTGTCTCTACCTCCTCGTCTTTCGCACGCTCAGGGGAGCTGACCCTCTCGCGCCCACCCGCAGATCTTCTTCTACCAAGTCGCCGACGGCCGCTTCATGTCGCCGCCGCTCACGCCCCCGACGGACCCCTCGATCCCGCGCATCCGCCCCTGGTCGCGCTCGCACCGCCTGTTCCCGCTCGAGCGCGCACTCGGCGCCTACCTCCCCGTCGACCGCTTCTCGGACGCCGTCGTCGCGACGGGCTACTGCGGCCCGTGGAGCCTCGAGGTGTTCAACGACAGCTTGGGCGACGCGAGGCGCGAGGTGCCGCAGGAGCATGCGGCGAGGGGCATCGCGGGCTTGAGGAGGGCGGCGCACGAGGCGTACGAGCGCGCGGCCAAGATCTGTGCGTCCGCTCTCTCTCTCTCTCTCTCTCTCTCCTCTGACTCTCTCCTCGACCACGTTGACTGACTCTCTATCTCGCTGCACGCAGAGGAATCTGGGCTCGGCATCATTCAGCATGGCATCGTCTCCCATCGTCCTGTTAGACCCTCTCGAACCCCCTTGTTGTCTTCCTCCCTCTGTGTACATCCCACCTTTCCTCGGGCCGTCCTCTCGCATTCACCCTAGTCCCCCTCGTCTCTCTCGCGCCGCTGTGTGTGCGCGGCGCCTGTGTCTGGTCTCTTTGTCGCTCTGCAACTCGTTCGCCTCGCTTGGACCCCTCTCTTCCTCCTGGCGGGTCGACCGACGACCGAGAGCGCGAGAGTCGACATGCTGGAACGAGTAAAGATGCAGAGGGGTCTACACACACAGCGAGACTGACGATGGACAAACGAGGCGAGGAACTAAAAAAGGGCGAAAAGGAGGGAAAGAACGAGGGGGGAGAGGGGAAGCGCGACGACGGGCCTCTACATCTGGCCCTCGCTCCACAGGACGGGGAGCAAGACGACGCACGCCGTCCAGAACACCTTGAAGCTCTTGACCGTGAGGGCCGGGTACTGCCTCAGGCCGGGCTTGCCGCCGTCCGGGCCCGACGCGAGGATCGGGAGCGTGAACAGGCAGTAGATCGAGTAGAAAGCGACGCGGAAAAAGTGGTAGAAGAGGCTGGCGGGCGAGGGACGTAGCCTGTGGAGGGAGAGTCGAGGGATCAGTGAGCGCTCGAAGGGAGAGAAAGAGAGAGAGAGCGGACGCACGCAGAGAGGAGGCCGACCGGGCCCTGGATGCAGTCGCCGCCGAGCTCGAAGTACTTGAAGCAGCCCGTCTTGAGCACCTCGAGGTTCTCGTCTGCAGGAGCGAGGAGTCAGGGACGAGCCCGAGAGACAAAAGGGAGAGAAAGAAGGAGAGGGAGGGAGAGAAGGACGGACCGTCGGCGCCGAAGAGCGAGTACAGGGCGAGGCTCAGGACGTTGATGCAGCTCGCGACCGCCTTGCGCTTCCAGTGCCACTCCTCGAGGCGCTCGCTGATGTCGAGCCAGTTGTCGAGCTCGACCGGCCCGCGCTCGTCGCCCTTGACGTCCGACACGGCCTTGCCGCCGCCGAGGAGCTCGGTGAGGAGGACGCAGTCGTTGAACGCGACCGTCATGCCGCCGCCCGTGAGCGGGTGCCGCATGTTGAGCGAGTCGCCGGCGAGGAACGCGCCCTGCGTGTCGCGCCCTTGCGGGTACGGCGGCAGGTACGAGTTGGGCATGGACCGCAGGCGGTACTGCTTGTCCTTGGTGAGGCTCTTGTCGAGTGCGGCGTGGAACGACGCGACGACGGTCGGCGGCAGGACGGGCGTCACGTGCTCGCGGAGCCACGCGGCGAGCTGGGCCTGCGGCGGGAGCTTGGGCCCGCGCACGTCGACGAGCATGCGCGTGTCGTGCGTCGCGAGCTGGTACACGAGGACGGGGCCGAGCGAGGGCACGCCCTCGGCGGTCGGTGCGGGCGGGTTGGCCGGGTCGGCCTTGCCGAGGATGACGTGCCCGTGGTGCGGCGCGGGCAGGTCGGCGTCTTCGAGGACGAGGCCGACAAAGTGCGAGCGCGTCGTCGGGACGACGTGCGACGGGAGGAGGGCGCGGCGGAACTTGCTCATGCACCCGTCGGCGACGATGGTGAGCTTGGCGCGGTAGTGGAGCGGCTCGGACGCGTCGTCGTCGGCGCTCGCCTTGCGCGGCGTCGCCTTGACGCCGACGATGGTGCCGGCCTCGTCCTCGAGGAGCTCGTTGACGGTCGCCTCGACGAGCGAGACACGCTCGGCGCTCTGAGCCTTGCGGCGCAGGTTCTGGATGAAGAGGCCGTGGTGGAAGCTGCGCCCCTCCTGCTTGCGGTCGGTGCCGTCGCTCCAGCGCATCGTCTTGCTCTCGTCCGGGTACGGGATGGCGACGACCTGGTCGCCCCAGAAGACCTGGTAGCCCTCGCACGGGACGGCGTCGATGCCGTCGAGCGTGTCGTCGATGCCGAGTTTCTGGAGGGCGAGGCACCCGCCGGGCTGGAGGAGCTCGCCGACGATGCGGTCGGGCTCGGACAGGTCGCGCTCGAGGAGGAGGACGGACCGGCCCGACTCGGCGAGCGAGTAGGCGAGGACCGAGCCGAGGATGCCGGCGCCGATGATGCACACGTCGTGCGGCGACGCGGCGGCGGCCTGAGGGTCGAGGAGGGGTGAGCTGCGATCGTCCTCGACGAGGGGACAGAGAGGGGAAGCGGGACGCACCTGGGCGTCTGCAGAGAGTATCCGGTTGTCGTGGGCGAGTGCGCCTGCCATCTTCACGGGCTTGAGACGAGCGAGGTGAGGACGAAGGCGGAGTCGAACGATGAGGGGCGTCGGGAGGAGCGAGAGGGCTGGCGGAGGTGCGGCGCGTCTCGCTGAGTGCGTGTGGTGTGCTGAAAGCTCGTACGACCTTGGCTGGGTCGATTCGAGATAGAGTGGGAGAGTAAGAGAGGGTTGAGCCGGGGGAGCTGCACCGCCGCTCTTCCCTCTCCTTCTCGACATCGGCGAGCGGAGTCCTTTGCAATATCAGCGGCAGTGTGAGCTTCTTGTGAACTAGTACAGCGCGTCTCGGACATCCAGAGTTGCTGCAGTCGAAGCTGTCGCTCGTTGCCACATCTTCTCGGCCCGCGGCGGCCGAGAAATCGACTGCTCGCACTCGCACAAGAGCCCAGCTGCGCTCAGCGACAGCTCGAGGGCGAGCCGATGAGCCTCGTCGACCTCCCCGCCGAGCTCGTCGCCCAAGTCGCGCGTTACCTGCCTCGTGCCGACCAAGCCCGACTCAGCCTCATCTCTCGCCTCGTGCGGCCGTCAGTCCAGCACGAGCTGTACCGCGACGTCGAGCTCGACCTCGACACGCTCTACGACGCCGACCTCGACGAGTTCCTCGCCGGCAAGTGCCGACCTCGAGCCGCCGTCGCCTCGCTCGCCGACGACCCGGTTCGCTGCGCCCTCCTCCGCCGCTTCGCCATCAAGGACCACGACTCCTGGCTCGATCCAGACGCCGTCACCAACATCGGCAAGGTCCTGCGGCAGGCGACGCTGCTCGACGAGGTGGGCATTGTGCGTCCTCCTCTCCCTCTTCCCTTTCCTGCCGACGCGAGCTGACAGGACCCCTCGTGCAGCTCCATACGGACACCTCGAACGGCGAGCACGAGGACCCGTCTACGGCGTCCAACATACAGCGCGTGTGGGACGTCCTGCCTGTCCTTCCCGCTCTTCGACGCCTCACCATCCACGTCGGCCCTGTCGCGGCTCTCAACCTCGACAAGCTCGTCCACCTGCGCCAGCTCGAGGTTGAGATCACCAACCTCGACAGTACCCGTGTCGGCGCCCTCCCGAGCAGCCTCGAGGTCCTGTCACTCGCCCAAGTCGCAGGCTTGACGACGACCTGGTTCAGCCCATCCCTGTTCTCGCACTTGCGGTCCCTGACCCTGTACCACCTCGAGGCGCCCGAGATCCGGATCGTCGAGCATGCTCTCGAGGTGCGTCCACTCGCTCCCTCTCTCTCTCGTCCGAGAAGGCGCGCAACTGACCCTGCGCGAGTCGCACCCGCAGGAGTACGCTCGATCGGCTCGACCGTCCACCCTCACGCACCTGCACCTCGACCTGCACCCGTACGAGATGGCGCCTCACGACCCTGCCGAGGATCCGGCCAACACCGCGCTCGTTATCCGGGTCCTGCGCGCGTTCAAGCCGCTTGCCGACTCGGTCGAGAAACTCGAGGTCATGACGAGCCCGCAGTACCCGTACCACGACGACTCGTCGCCCATCATCGCCGCATCCGTCATCTCCGCCCTCACGTCGAGCTTTACGCGCGTCAAGCACCTGCAGCTGTTCATGGGCGACGAGACGCACGGGTTTTTCCCCTACAAGACGCACGACCTGGTGCGCCTGTCTGTTTCTCTCTCTCCGAATGTGTCGATCTCGATCTCTGCGCACCCGCTGATAGACTGCGTTGCACACAGATGCAAGACCTGGTTCTCGGGCTCGCCCGCTGCACGCTTCTGCGTCGCCTCGACACGTGCGTCGTGTTCGCTCCTCTCCCCTCGCGTCCGTCCTAGCTCGACGAGCGGCCTGACGTCCTCTTCTCTTGCAGCAACGTCTTCCGCCCCACTCGCGCGACACGCCGACTCGATTGGGACACCGGCGACGACGTGTGGCAGTCCGCCTTCGAGGAGGCTGTCTGGCTCTCGGCGAGCCACTACTTTGACCGACTGCCGACGCTCGACGCCGCCATTGTCTCGCCAGACGAGTGCTACCTGAGCCGCAAGGCATTTGTGCGCCCGGCCGACGGCGTCGGCGCGCCCAGGTTGGTGGACGAGATGGACCTGCCGAGGGTCGTAGCCTGACGGGCTGAAACGCGTCTCGTTGGCCCCTCGTTCGTCGTCGTCGAGCAGTCGCGCACAGGGTTCTACGGCGAGTCGGACGTACGGCGAGCGGGCGCGTCGCCGAGCGCTCTTGAGGGGTTTCTCGTCCCGCCTCGCGCGGCCCGTGCGCTCATCTCGCTCGCGCAGGTCCTCGTCAACTTTCAGCGCCGCGACGAGGTCATCGGCTTCGAGTTCTGCGCGTCGTCCAGATCCCGTCGAGGCGCACGCGAGGCCCAGTCGGCCGTCACGAGCGCGCAAGAGCGTCGATTTCGAGGGCGATCGTCCATCGGCGCGCAGGAGGCCGGCTTGTCGACGGCCAAGGCGCGCTCAACACGTCGGCTCTCAATGTGCGTCCTCGAGTCCTCGTTCACGCTCGCGTGCGGCGCAGAGCGTTCTTGTGCGTCGACGTCGGCCTGACCTGTTTTGCGCCCCCACTTGGGAAGGCGGTCGACGAGCGAGCGAGCGACAAAGGCTGGGCCGGCGGTCTACTTTCTTCCGTGCGTCGAGCGCTGCTCTCTCTCGTCCTCTCTCGTGCGCGGAGGACCACGACGGTGCCTGAGCGCCCAGAGGTGCCCCAAGTTCTTTCACCCGCAGCGTTGACCTCCCTCTCGCTCCCACAGCTCTTTCCCCTCTCCCTTCCTCTATCACTCCTCGCCCCACCTCTCGACCTCCCACACCGCCCCACCACTCGCGCCTCGACCCCCTCGACTCGAGCGCCTCGACCTCGTCTTAGCGCCCTCGCGACCTCGCCGACCTCCTCGTCAACCTCTCTCTCTCTCTCACCTCGCACCATGGTCAAGCTCTTTGAGCGCGTCGAGGACCGCCCGACGCCCCAGGCGGTCTACAACTGGCGCGTGTACTCGTGCGCCATCGTCGCCGCGACGGCCGCCATCATGATCGGGTCCGTCCTCTCCCTCCTCCCTCCCTCCTCTCGCGTCGACTTGACTCGCTCGCGATCTCTCGCTTGTTCATGCGGCGCACACACACTGACATGCGCTCTCTCACACAGCTACGACTCGGCGTTCATCGGCACGTCGATCGCGCTCCCGTCGTTCAAGAAGGAGTTTGGCCTGCTCACCAAGACGCCCAAGGAGTTTGCTGCCATCAGCTCCAACATCGTCTCGACCTACCAGGGCGGCTGCTTCTTCGGGTCCCTCCTTGGTTACCCGCTCGGGCAGCTCCTCGGCCGCAAGAGGGGCCTCCTCGCCTCGGCGCTTGTCTTCTGCCTCGGCGCCGGCGTCATGCTCGCCGCCGACGGCGCCCGCGGTCTCGGGCCAATCCTCGGCGGTCGCATCGTTGCAGGTCTCGGAATGTGCGTCCCTGCGTCCTGTCTTGAGTCGAGTCGAGCGCGAGCACTGACCCTCTCTCCTCGCAGCGGCGCCGCCTCGAACCTCACGCCGCTCTACATCTCGGAGATCTCGCCTCCCGCCATTCGTGGTCAGCTCGTCGGCATGTACGAGATCGGCTGGCAGAGTGCGTCCCTCGCTCTCTCGCCCCTCGTGCGCGCGGACCGTGACTGACCTTCCTCCTCTCCTCTCGCAGTCGGTGGCCTCGTCGGCTTCTGGATCAACTACGGCGTCACCAAGCACATCGCGCCCGGCACCACGCAGTGGCTCACTGTGCGTCCCTCTCTCTCTTTGCGTCGGCCGGCTCGTTCCGAGGGCCCGAGCGCTGACCTTCTCCCCCTCTCCTCCTCGTCCCCCTTTCGACTTCCCTTGGCCTCGCCTACAGCCTTTCGCCGTCCAGCTCATCCCTGGCGGCCTGTTCGCCATCGGCGTCCCCTTCTTCATCCGCGAGTCGCCTCGCTGGCTCATGCAGCGCGGCAAGCGCGACGCCGCCGTCAAGAACCTGTGCTTCATCCGCAACTTGTCGCCCGAGGACCCGTACATCATCAACGAGATCAACGAGATCGACATCCAGGCCGAGCACGACCGCACGGCGGTCGGTACCGGGTTCTGGGCGCCGATCCGCCACCTGTTCTCGACCGGCCACTTGTTCCGCCGCATGCTAGTGGTATCTTCTTTGTTCATCTGGCAGAACGGCACGGGCATCAACGCGATCAACTACTAGTGCGTCCCTCCCTCAACCCGTCTCGGAGCGTCCCTCGAGGCTGCAGGAACCTGACCCTTCTCCTCCTCCCTCAGCTCGCCGACCATTTTCAAGTCGATCGGCGTCACGGGCACCTCGACGTCGCTCCTGACGACTGGCGTGTTTGGTGTCATCAAGACGGTGCTCGCCCTCGTCTGGTGCTTCTTCATCATCGACCGATACGGCCGCCGCAACATCGTACGTCCCCCTCTTTCTCGACCTTCTCGACCCGGACCTGACGCTCCTCCCTCTGTCTCGTACAGCTCCTCATCGGTTCGCTCGGTGGTGCTCTGTCGATGCTCGCCATCGCCATCTACATCAACGTCGACAAGCCGCAGCTGAACCCGACGACCGACCTGCCCGCCGCCGGCAAGGCGGCCATGTTCTTCTTCTACCTCTGGACGGCCTTCTACGCTGCATCGTGGAACGGAACGCCGTGGGTCGTCAACTCGGAGTCGTTCCCGGGTACGGTCCGCCAGGTCACTCAGTGCCTCGCTGCCACCTCGAACTGGCTTTGTGCGTCTCGCTCCCTCTCTCTCTCTCTCAAGAGACCTCCGACTGACTCGTGTCTCCTTCCACAGGGAACTTTGTCATCTCGCGCGCGACGCCGACCATGTTCCTGCGCATGGGCGCCGGCGGCTGGGGCGTCTACCTCTTCTTCTGCGTGCGTCCTCTCGTTTGCTCTCTCTCTCCTTCCCCTCGAGCCCCGAAACTGACTCAAAAGACATGCACCCACAGCTCATGCAGCTCGCGTCGATCCCCTACATCTGCCTCCTCCTCCCCGAGACGCGCAACATCCCGCTCGAGGAGATGGACCGCCTCTTTGCCCAGAAGAACGTGTGGCGCGCCAACCAGATCGTCATGGCCGAGCTCCAGCGCGAGCACGAGCTCGGCGCCGAGCGCGGCGTCGCCTACCTCAAGCCGCAGGCCGGCAGCGAGGAGCGGATCGAGAACGCCTCGAGCGACGACGAGAAGGTCTGAGCGGCGGGTGCGGTCGGGCCTTGCGGTTCTTCTCGGTCTCTTTGTTCGTCTTCTGTCTTTCTCTGTGTACCCGTAGACGAGCCGACTCGAGGCGAGAAGCAGTATCTCTTCATTCTTCGTGCGTCCGGATCTCGAGGACAGGGAAGCGAGGAGGAGGGGAGCGAGAGGCGACGCGGCCAGTTCAGGTTGCAGTGAGCACATACTGCTCGTTCGCTGCTTCTCAGCCACTGCTCAGTCCGCTCACAGGCATCGCTTCAACGAGCCGACGAGGACGAGAAGCGTTCATCCGCGGTTGCAGCTCAGCCGCGCACGCATCGGCGCAGCCAGTCGGGTTAGCCAGCTCTCGTCGCCTTGTCCTCGACGCACGTGTCTGCAGAGGCCTTGCGAGCCTCGCATCGTGCGCGGCGAGCGGGCTGCAGTGCGCACGGGCCTCGAGGGAACGAGCACCGAGCACGACTCGCTCAATGGCGCTCGATCTTGTCTCGTCGCTGGGCTCTTCGGGCTGCATCAGCGATCGTTCTGGCTGCGCTGGGCGGGCAATTACACCTGCGGGGCGCGTCGATGCTTCGGCGGTCGCTCCTTGTCCCTCCTTCCACGTCGTCCGCCCTGCTCTCTTCTTCCGCTTATCACTCGCTCAGCACAGTTAGCTCTCAACATGTCGGCGTCGAACGTTCCCGACGCTGCGACGGCGGCCGCCGGGGCCGCAGCACAGCTGGCAGCACTTCAAACGGCCGTGTCCGACCTCGTCAGCCCGGTAGTCGTCGCCACCTTTCTCGCCTGCGTCCTCTACGGCGTGCTGCCGTACATGTGTGCGTCTCGATTGTCCGCACTCGACGCCTCAACGACGAACTCTGACCCGATGCCCTTCTCAGCGGCGACCTACTTCCTGCGCTTCGGCTCGACCGACCGCCTCGCGTTCAAGCTCCTCGTCGGGTTCCTCACCTTATCGGCGCTCGGCGACACGATGAACGACTGCGCGTGGGCCTGGCGGTCCACGGTCACGGCGCTCCTCGACCCTTCGGTTCTCGCGCTGGTGCCAGCTGAATTTGTTGCGTACGCCTGCTTCACGGGCCCGAACGTCCTCATCTGCCAGGCGTTCTTCACGTGCGTCCGTGCTGTCGTTCTCCCTCGAGTCGTGCCCGCGTCCGGGTCGCAAAGGCTCGTCGCCGTCGGGTGTGACTGACGCTCGAGCCTCTTCTCCTCGCAGGTGGCGTGTTTGGGTCGTGAGCGAGATGAATGGCCGCCGCAACTGGTGGTTGCCGCTCTTCCTCCTCCAGCTCGAGCTCGCTGCCGCTGGCTTGGCGCGCTTCCTCGCGTACTGGGGCAGTCAGGCGACGAGCATGGTCGAGTTCTCCGAGATCACGGTCCGCTCCTTCTCGCTCTCCCTTTCCCCTCCTCGGCTGACCCTCTGTCGACACACAGACCGTCATGTACACCTGGCTCGGCGCGAGCCTGCTGTGCGACCTGCTCATCACGTGTGTCCCTCGACGCCGCCGTCTCTCGCCGTCTGACCTCGGTCGCGCACTGACCCTCCCTTCTCGGCAAACAGCGTCGCCATCACGTATTACCTCCTCCTCCTCCCTCGTCGGATCGTCGGCGACTCGGTCGCCTCCAAGCTGTCGTCCCCCGTCGGCCGCATCGTCCTCAAAACGTTCCAGACGAACGCTGCGTCGCTCGCCATCCAGCTCCTCGTCCTCGTGAGTCTCGTGCCGCCTTCTTTCGGCGTCAAGCGTGATGTACTGACCTCTATCGACGTCGCTGCAGGTCGTCATCGTCACAAAGGGCTCGACGCTCTGGTACGCCGTCCCAGGTGCGTCCTTGATCCCGCTCGAGCCTCCTCTTCTCGCGCTCGATACTCACCCCTTCTTGCACAGGGTACCTTGAGAGCAAGATCTATGTCATTTCGGTCCTCGCAACTCGTCCGTCCTCTCCTCTCGTCCTCGACCTACCCTTCCTCGACGCTCACACCGCTCTTTCTCGCGCAGTCAACGCCCGCAAGTCGACCCTGTCCAGCGACGCGACCCCTCCTATCGACAAGAGCTACCTCTCCAAGACGACGCAGCCGGGTTCTACGACCGCGCTCGCTCGCCGGGCCCGCCAAACCGGCTCAATGCCCGTCCACGTCCTCAAAGAGGTCCACTGCGTCGACGAGGCCGAGTCTGACTTTCACGGCTCGAAGGACCTCGAGTTCGAGTCGGCGCCGCCGTTCGCTGTGCGGTTCGAGGGCGCGCAGGCGAGTGTCGAGGGCGACATCGAGCTGGGCAAGCGAGGCTGAGCGGGAGCGAGGAGCGCGAGTCGGGGCGAGCGAGTCGAGCGGCGGTGCGAGAGGCGCGTAGATTCGACGATGCAGTAGAGGACACAGTAGCGACGGCGAGCAACAAGAATTGACAGGTTACGCGAACAGCAACGAAAGCGAAACTCGCGTCGAGAGCTTCTCGCGAGCGCGACTGTCTCTCTAGCATGCTCTCGCCTCGCTGTATCTCGTCCATGCCACTCTCGCACGCGCTGAAGACGTTAACGAGCGATCGTCGAGTTGCACGGCCCTGCTCGACGTTGACGGCGCGTCGAGCTCAACTTGAGAAGGTCGCCCTCGCCGGCTCACTCGCGGTACGCCTGCACGAACGGGATGCGGAAGATGCCACTGCGCGCACACAGCGATGTCAGGAGTCGATCGAAAAAGAGAGAGAGAGAGAGAGAGAGGACCGAGTCGACGCACGCTGTGTCGGTCGCGAGGGTGCATCCGCCGAGCTTCTCCTCGCTCGGGCTGCTCGCCGCAAACAGCATGGCGTCGACCGTGTCGCTCAGCTTGATGTGAGGCAGCTGCTCGATCATGGGGCGGAGCGGGCCAAAGATGTCGGTCGGGACGGGGCCGGACGCGACGAGAACGACGCTGCGGGACGCGAGACAGAAAGAGGGTCAGGGATGGCCGGCCTCGACCGGGTCGAGGAGGAACGAGAGGGACGCACGAGATACCTGCCGCCTCGCTCTCGGTGTGTAGAGCGCGCTGCAGGCCGAGTAGGGCGTGCTTGCTCGTCGCATAGAGCGGGCAGCCGGGCGTCGCGACGAACGAGGTCAGGCTCCCGAGGATGACGAGCGCCTTGGGGCCGGTCGAGGCGTTCTTGCGCAGGTGGCGGAAGGCGAGGCGAGAGGCTGCACGAGGGGCAGGGCGTGAGCTGGCGCGTCAAAGGGAGCGAGGGAGAGCCACGACGCGCTGTGGAGGGTCCCAACGACGTCGACGTCGATCGTGCCCAAGTCCGGCTTCTGCGCGCGTGAGACGAGGCTGTCAGACCCATGAGTCGCGACGGATCCGAGTCTGAGGAGGAGAGGACGTACCGTGAGCTTGCCGTCGGCGTCGACCTCGTCGTCGAGGAAGCTGCCCATCTCGAACACGCCGGCGTTGGCAACGACGACGTCGATGCGGCCGAAGGTCGCGATGGCGTGGTCCTGCAGGTAGAGGTGTCAGTATCAAAAGGCCTGCGAGCATCGAGAGGAGAGAAAGACGCACGAAGAGCGCGACTTGCGACTCCCAGCTCGTCACGTCGGTCGCGAGCCCGGTCGCCTCGCTGTTGCGGTCGCACGCCGTCGAGACCGTCAGTACCACCTCGCCGCTTCGCCGATCCTCGAACGAGTGGAACAGAACGCGACGGACCCGCCGCCCGCCTCGATCTCCTCCACCACCTCGCGCACGCCCCGCTCCCCCCTCGCGCCGACGACCAACCTCGCCCCTCCCTCCCTCGCGGCCCTCAGCGCAAACTCCCTCCCAAGCCCCTTGGTCCCACCCGTGACGAGCACGACCTTGGCCCTGAGCGCGCCGTGCCCGAGCGCCGAAAGCGCGCGCGACGAGGCGACCGGGATCGCCTCGGCGCCGTAGGTCGAGCGCAGGCGCAACATTTCGCGCTCGATGACCTGTTGGCGCGTGTGGGTCGACGTGAGCGGGAGGCAGGGAGGGAAGGAGAGAAGAAGCGAGTCAGTGAGGGCGATAACGGAGGGAGGAGGGAGGGAGGAGGGACGACGCACCTTGCGGATCCCGTCGTGCTCGGCAGAGTCGGCCACGCGAGTCGGTGCGTGTGCGAGAAGTGAGAAGCGAGAGGCAAGCAGAGAAAGCGGCGCAGAGGCCAGGGAAGAAGCTAGGGGAGGAGGCTCGAGCACGTGAGGCAGAGCTGCTCGCCGCCGGGCCGAGCGCGCACTCCGCCGACTCGGCGTCCATCCGCCCGACGCACGCACACACGGCGCCATCGATCGATCGCGCGGGGAGAGAGGCGAGAGGAACGGAAAAGTCTATGTCACAGCCCCGCACACGGTCCGAGCGACCGTCTCACAGAAACCTCGAGAGGGGAAAGAGAAAGAGAGAGAAAGGGAGGGGGACGTCTACAGGCCGAGGATGTCGTCGAACGCGCTCTTGCGGGCGACGGGAGGAGGAGGGGCAGGTGCCGAGGGGGAGGAAGAGGACGAGGTCGAGCGGCGCGAGGGCGGGAGGTAATCGTCGAGGATCGAGTCGAACGCTGTAGGCGCACGAGCGGGTCAGCGCACGGGCCGCAGGAGAAGCGTAAGCGAGGAAAAAGGGGGCGCACAGAAGACGGGGACCTCCTTGAAGGTGGGCTTGGGCACGGCCGACGACGAACCGAGGCCGGCTGCGACGAGGCGGCGGATGGCCGGGCCGTCGAGGAGGACCTCGACCGGGTGCTTGACCTGCGCATGTAGAAGCTCGTCAGTCACGGGCGCAAGAAGGAAGAGAGCGGGCCGCGACGCACGTCCTTGGGCGTCGGGGTGTAGTCGTGCGCCGGGTGGGCGTGGTCGGGCTTGTCCTTGGGGAGCGACCCCCTCGCGCTCGTGATGGCGCCCGTGTGGGCGAGCACGTCGCCCTTGGTGAGCATGCCGTGGTGGCCCGTCGCCTTGATGGCGCTCGCGTCCGTGATGCCGGCGAGCGCGAGCAGGCGCAAGACCGAGGGCAGGAGCGGCTTCGAGTGCTGAGGGTGGGCATGGATCGCGGACGGGGTCGGGGAGGGAGTGGCGGGGGAAGGGTTCGGCGCGTCGGAGGGGGCGGCCGAGGTCGGGCCCGCTTCGGGCTTCGAGTCGGCAGGCGAAGGCGCGGACGACGACGTGGCGGCGGCGGCGTCTTCCTGCGACGGGATCTCGATGTTGGACAGGTCGTCGCCCTCCTCGGCGAGGACAGCGATGAGCTTGCCGACGGGAACGCCTGCGGCACCGTCATTCTCCTGCGCGACGGGCAATTCGGGTCAGCGAGGCTTGCGAGGGAGAGGAGGAGGAGGAAGGGCGGCGACGCACGAGGATCTTGCCCATGATGCCGTCGTCCTGCGCCTCGACGTCGATCGAGGCCTTGTCGGTCTCGATGGTGAGGAGAACAGCGCCGGCCTCGAACGCGTCGCCCTCCTTGACCTTCCACTCGCTGATGCCGCCCTCGGTCATGGTCGGCGACTGCGTGCGGCACACGGTCAGTGACGGGTCTATCGCGCACGGCAGAGAGCGAGAGAATGGACAGACCATGGCGGGCATGAGGAAGTTGGAGTAGGCGGTCCTTGGCGCCGAGGCATGCACTGCGGCGAGGGAGAGGGACGAGGGGGGGGAGGAGGAGAGAGAGGTCAGTGCGCGGTCCTGGAAAGGTGTGCGCCCGGCACGGAGGTTGTTCGGCCGTGCAGGACCTTTCTGCAGGGCGCTGGCACCCGCAGATGCCGTCGTCGCCAAGCTGGTCCATCGGGTCCCGAAACTGGGGCAGGCGCTCGCTCCTCGTCCACCTCGCCTGGTGCCCGACCGACGCTCTGAAGCACCTCGAGAGGGCTCGTGGCAAGGCGTGGCGCGCGTAGAGCGCCGCTGGTGGACGAGAGCGGCGAGATCGATGCTGGCGGCGGCTCGAGGTGAGGGAGGAGGGCGGCGGCGAAACTCACGCTGGCGGGCGAGCGGGCGGGCGCAGGTGCGGGCAGAGCGGATGGCGGAGAACATGGCGGACTGGGCTCTGTGGCTGCTGGCGACGACGACGACGAGCGAGAGACGAGCGACTCGAGAGGTTGGGCGAGCTCCTCCAGCGAACACGCCTCTACCTCGCCCTCTCGCACAGCTGTGCCGTGGACAGTGCAGCTCTGCGTGTACCTGCTCAGTACAGGGACCTGCTGCGCCTTGTCTCGCGCTCCTCCCGTTTCTCCCTGTTGAGCCGACGCCCCTCCCCTCCTCCTCGTCCCTCCCCTCTCGCGCGAGCATCCCCGCCTCGCTGCGGAGCGTGTCGCGTCGGCTCGGCACTTTGAGGCGCGACGTGGCAGCGACAGCCTTCCGCGCTTGCCTCGGCGCGGCGTGCTCGCTCCCTCGAGCCGCTCTCCGCCGCTTCAACGACGTTCGCACGGACGCTCGCCCCCTGTCCGCCTGCGCCGCGCGGAGCGCCCGCATACTTTCGGCGCGTGGCTGCGCTCCCGCGGCGACGCCCGGCCGTGGGCTGAGCGGCTGTGAGCCGCCGCTGCGGCTTGGCTCTGTGCTCCCGACGACTTGGCTCTCGCACGCCCTCCTCGCCCGCGCGAGCAGCTTGTTATCCGCGCTTTCAGAGCGATTCGTCAAGCGCACGCACATCGGCTGTCTGGGGCGTCCGCGGACCGCGTCGAACGCCGCCGGGCCCCGCCTCGGCAAGCCTCTTCCTCGACCTCACCCGCTCTCTCGCCGTCAGCCGCCGACCTTGCGCCTCTCAACTGCCGGGCACTCGCCCTCGCACAACCAAGTACGCTGCACCCTCCCTCGACGCGTCTCTGTGCGCCGTCGCTGACCTCCTCGCCCGACACAGCCTCCTCCGCGTTCCGCTCGAGCAGCGAGGTCATCGTCCCTTATCGCCCTCGCCGACCCGCCTGTCTCTTTTCTCTTCGCTCTTCAACACGAGCGAGTGACCGCGAGCCAAGATGGGCGCAGCTCAAGACGCGTTCAGCTCCGTGTGCCCGATCTCCTACGTGCGTCCTCGTCTTCCTCGTCTGCGTCGTGGGAGCCACCTGGCTGACCTCTTTGTCCGTCCCGCTCACAGTCCGAGTACTGCTCTGCGCCATGGCAGGTCACGATCGACGTGTGCTGCGGCCTGTGTCCTTCACCCGCTGTGCGTCCTCTCCCTCGTGTCGCCGCTTCCTCCCTCCTCCTCCTCGAGCGTCGACTGACTGGTTCCCGAGCGCCGACTGACTGGTTCCCGGACCGACTACCGCCTGCAGATCAACGCCTACGGCACGCTCGCAGGCCTCATCATTGCCTCGTTTTTCGCCATGCTCATCGTGCTCTTCCAGCCGGCACAATCGGCGTGGTACAGTCCGTCCTCCCTTTCCTTCCTCCTCATCGACCCTGTCTCTCTCTCTCTTCGTCTCTCCTCTCGCACGGACTGACCCTCTCGCGCTCGCGCACACCCACCACAACAGTTGCCGCACAGCTCGCCCTTGCGCACATGTACTTGGTCGCCATCATGGCCCGAAACATGATGGGCACGGCTTCGAGCGGCGTCAACGCGATCCAGCGGTGGCACGCCGAGTACGCGTTCCTGCTCGCGGCGAGCATCACGGGCACCATCGTCGCCTGCGTCTTGTCCGACACGCACCACATCCATGTACGCCGTCCCTCTTTCTCCCTCTCCCTCTCTTGCTCCCTCTCGTTCGACTGTGTCTGACATCGCCTCGCTCTGCAGGGCTTTTCGTCCGCCGACGAGCACGACGCCTTCCTCGACGCCTCGGCCGCCTTTGCCCAAGCACGAGCCGCTCGCCCCTCCTCTGCGCCCAAGCACTACTCGCCACACCCGCTCCACCTCCAGCCAGGCGACGAGTACGTCCGGGGCGAGCACCTGTCGAACGTCGCCCGAGCCGCGCAGCGCCTGCGCAAGTGGGGGCACCGGCACCAAGCCGTGCTCCTCCTGTGCGCGTTCGCGACGAGCGAGCTGTACTGGTTCGTCCTGTACGCGGCCACCATCTGGTGGCCGGCCGCGTCGTCGCCCGTCAAGCCCGTCTCGTGGCAGGCCAACTGCGACGACCTGATCGGTGCGGCCAACTACCGCCTGCTCGAGGGCACGAGCTGGACGTTTGTCAGCGTCGCACTCCTCGCGACGCTGCTCCTGTGCGTGCCCGTGTTTGGCCACCGCAGTGAGAGCGCCGCGCACACGCTCGTCAGGCTCTTGAGCCTTAACCCTAAGACGCGCAGGTCGGCGTTCGCGTCGAGGAGGGCGGGCAAACGGGCGCAGGAGCAAGGAGGACCGCCGCGCAGGAGGACCGACTCGGACATGACCAAGGCGACGAGGCGGTCGGGCAATAGCGGCGGCTTCGAGTGGGACGCGTCGACCGAGACGCTCGTCAAAGTGTGCGCGTCGCTCGCCGTCTGGGTCTTGTGGTTCGTCATGGTGCTCGTGCGTCCTCGTCTTTCTTCCCTGCTCCTCGTCCTCGTCGACGCCCATTTTGACGGCTTTCCTCGCGCCCAGGTCATCCTCTTCAAGGCTCTCAACGACTTTCTCCTCGAGGGCACGGCTTGGCCGTATGCAGCCATCCAGAACTTCGTTGCGTCGCCCTCTCCTCCCTCTCCTCCCTCCTTCCCCCGCGGCCCTTCTGACTCTCGCCCTCCCACACACACGCGCCCGCAGATCTTCGGCACCTTCGCCGCCTTCAAGTTCTTCCTCGGCGTCGTCCGCGAGCGCACACGGCAGCACACCAAGGCGCGCAAGGCCCGCCGCCTCGAGCGAGCGGACCGGGCGCCGCTCGTCGGCGCCGACGCCAACGCCAACGCCGACGCGCCGCCGCCGCCGCCGCCGCACGACGGGCGCTCGAGCTCGAGCGGCGAGCAGCGGAGGACACGGCGGCCGCGGTTGAGCTTGCGCTCGAGCGAGCGAGGGCGACCCGGCGAGAGGGCGTCGGTGGGCGCGAGCGGCGCGAACCTGTCTGAGGGGCTCGAGCGCGGCGTCGAGACGGGGCGGCGGTCGCGGCAGAAGCGGTAGCCATCGAGCGAGGTGGTCAGCGAGGGATAGAGAAGGAGGAGGAGGAGGTAGACGAGCTGTAGAGCGGTAGACGGAGCCGACGAGCGAGCGAAAAGACCAAGTTCCCGTTCCTCTCGTTTCCTCTCGTCGAGCTCGTCGCGACGAGCTGCTCGACAGCTGCATTACGAGCACAGGTGCGGCAAAGAGGACGACAGAGAGCCGACAAGGTATGTACGGCGAACGAGAGACGTCTAGAGGAGGAGGAGGAGGAAAGAGGAGCACGACGATACGGCACGGCACGGCACAGCACGGCGGGCGCGAAAGAGATAGACACTGCGACGAGCCACCCTCGCTCGCTTACTCCCTCCTCAGTCCTCCTGCATCGGCTCGCCCGCCGCGACGCCCCAGCTGCCGGCCCTCGCCCTCGACCTCGACCGCGAGCCCTCCCGCGCCGTCACGTGCCCGACCCTCCCGCGCTCCTTGCCCTCTGCCGCACCCTCCTCGTCGTCCTCGTCCTCCTCGTCGCCCCACCCATCGTCCTCATCGTCGTCGTCGTCGTCGGCGCGCGTCGTGCTCGGCGTCCCAGGCGTCACCGTGCTGCTGCTGAAGCTGCTGCTCGTCGACGGGTGGCTCCGGATGCTCCGGGGCCGGTGCGGGCTCTGCGCCTGCGCGTGCGCGTGCGCGGCGGGAGGCCCGGCGCGTCGCGAGAGCGACGACGACGACGAGCCGAGACGGTCGCGGTCGCGCTGCGTCGGCGTGCCGAACGTGGGTCCGTGCGCGTCGCCGCCGCCGCCGCCGCCGCTCGGGATGCGCGCGCCGCTGCTGCTCGACGAGTGGGCGAGGTGCGCTGGGTACGACGACGACGAGTGTGCGGCGCCGTACTGCTGCTGCTGCGCGGCCGAGGCCGAGGACGAGCCGGGCGTCGAGCCGCTGGTCGCGCTCTGCCGCGCCTGCGCCGACGCAGCAGCGACGGCCGACCGCGTGAGCGGTGGCGTCTCGACCGCCTCGCTCGGCTCGTAGTCGTGCGCGCCGCCACCGCCGTCGCCGCCGCCAGCGCCGGTCGACGTCGTCGGCGTCCTCGCGCGGCTCGCGGCGCGCGACCGTCCCGCGGCCGCCGCCGCCGGGTTGCTCGTGCCGTTGCGGCCGACCCAGTACAGGATGAGCTGGTCGGCGTAGCGCTGCAGCTCGTCGGTCGGGATCTTGAGGCGAAAGTCGTTGAGGAGGAGGAACTGGAGCTCGAGCTGGTTGAGCTCGTGGAGCGGGAGGCCGCCGACCTGTCAAGGCAACGAGGGCTTGGGGTCAGTCGTGCTGCACGTACGACGCACGAGAGAGAGAGAGAGAGAGCGGGGCGCACCTTGGCGTAGCGCGAGTTGGTGTAGAACACGTCGCTGAAGAACTTGCTCGCGACGGTGACGCCGGCAATGACGAGGCGGTGCACGTTGAAGCTGTCGATCGCGAACAGCTTGTTCGGGTTGGGCGCGCCGCCGCCGGCGTCCTGCTGCTGCTGCTGGCCCTCGCCGCCGCCGCCGCCGCCGGTCGTGCCCGCCGCCGCCGAGGCCGGGTGGTGCGCGTCGCCGCGGTCGCGGGGCAGGCCGAGCCTCTGCGCCTCGAGGCCGATGCGCGCCATGCGGTCAAAGTAGACGAGGAGCGCGAGAAAGACCTCGTTCGTGGTCGGGCAGTACTTGAGGATGCGCTGCAGGTAGGCCTCGATCGAGATGGCGGGAACGTTGCGCGCGTGGAAATCACAGGTTCGCGCTCGGGGATGACAGC